TGTGTGTGTGTGTGTGTGTGTGTGTGTGTGTGTGTGTGTGTTTCTCTATGCTTGTCTCTGATTCTTTTGGCTTCTGTTTATGTCTGCACCTCCCTCTTAATTCCCTTTGCCTCTCTGCCTGTTTCTTTTCATTTGTTCTCTCTCTTTCCTTTCTTATTTTTCTACTTCTGTCTGCCTCCATTTTATGGTTCCTCTCTCCCACTTTGTGTGCCATCTCTCTCTGTATGTCCCTCTGCCAGCTCCTTTGGAGTTCTGCTTTTTACTTTCTTGCCCTGATCTCTGCTGACCCAACAGGTCTCACCACTTCCTCTGCCCAGGGACGGCTTCGCTGTTACACCTGCAGCTTCGCCAAGCCTTGCTACCCTGTACCCACAGAGTGTCAGGATGATGAAGCTTGTGGCATCACTGTTGGCACCTCAGGTAGGAGTATGGTCCATTGGCCCTTGTCCAGGTGGCTCCCTACCTGTCTCCTTCCTGCCTTTCCTGCTGCCCCCACCCCCGCCTCAGCATTCCTCCTTCATCCCACAGACCAGAATGAGATCATCGAGCGGAAAGGCTGCCTCCCAAGGACCCAGTGCCCTCTGCCAGGTCATGCCACCTACTGGTCACATGCCTACGTTCTGCGGCACCACTGCTGTGAGCAGGACCTGTGCAACTCGGCTGTCACAGCACAGTGGCTCCCCAGTCTCTTCCTCACCACCCTGCTCCTCCTGGTGGCCAATTTTGCCTGGGGAGGCCAACTCCTCCACTAGCCTTGTGTGGACTCTCAGCCCCCAACCCAAGACTCCTTCACCATCAACATGGTACTGGAAATACCCGCATGGACACTTTTGAGACATGCCCAAGAACCTGATTTTGTACACAATCCTTAGACTCCTAGACCCAACACCTCCACAGACCCCTCCCAAGACCTGTTTCCCATGGGCACTGCTCTAGCCCTTGTAGGCACCCACCCAAAGCCCAGCCTCATAAGAAACATCTGCTCTGTGTCTTTTGTCTTTTCCAAACGCCTGGTGCTGATGTCTTCTCTCAGCCCCAGGTGCCTAGCAAGATGCCATTTTGATAGAGCTGTGGTCCCAGGCAAGGAAATTGAAAGGGCACAAGGTATGGTGATGAGGAAGGTCTTTCTGGGAAAGATGTAACATAGTAGGTGGGGAACTATAGAGTACATTTAATAAAGGAGCTATCTGGGAACCTAGCAATGGTTCAGTGTGTGTAGGGTGTGTGTGTGTGAATGCATGGGTGTGCTCTCTAAGAATGAACTATAGCTGCCTGACAGGTTGGGTTGGAGTGCTGGAACCTAAACAATATTCTCCTCATTTTCCATCTGTCATCTCATTCTCCTTCCTGCCAGTATCTTAGCTTAAGCTGCTGTAGCATGAATGTTTTAGGCAAGATATCAAAGGAAGTTTTTCTCCAGGGAAGCCCAGACTTGAGCCAAGACCCAAAAGGGGAACTGATAGGGTTACTTTATGAGGATGTGGCCTGGAGTCCAGCTCATCTCTGCCTGAGACTGGGGACTGGCCAACTTGGGAGTGTGAATGCCCTTCCCCACTGACCAGCCCAAACTTGTCTGTAGTTCATAGGTGGCCAAGCATAACCAGCCTCACTAGGGAATCCCACCTGCTAACCCTTGTGGACACTCTTCTCTGCTTAGGGAGAGAGGGTGTGAGCCATGGGCACAGGGAGGTAGTGTTCCTAGGAGTCTGAAGTGATAACTGTTTAGCGCTGAATGCCACAGTGGAGCCCCACAGGGAAGTCTGTGTGCCATGGATAAGGAGGGAGTCTGGCTGGAGGTGGAGCGTAGGCACCCCCATTCTGACTTGGTTCCTTCCCTTCCATTTGAGGAAGTCTGTGAGCTGATTAAATATGTTTGTTCCCTAGCTTCTTTGTGAGAATGAGGCTTAGCGGGTGGGGAGGTCTGGCTTAATTTGGAGGCATGTTGAGTCTTCTTTCCATTTTCTGTCCCTTAGTTCTCCCACTTTGCACTTCTATTTTTTTCTCTCTGTTTCTTTTTATTTTAACTTTAGTCTCTTTCCTTCTCTATTCCTCAGTTTCCCCCATTCTTCTTTAGATTCCCCTGTGACTCTAGATTCCTTTATCTCCTCCCTGCCCACCTCACCCCTTCTCACCCTCAACAGGTACCCCAGCCTCCCCTCAATTCTATAGTATTGCATGCTCAGGGCCAACCCTCCTCTGGCCAATTCAAGACACAAAACCACACCTTTTTGTAGGTGACATCATGAAATAATGCTACACCTTTTCTTCAGCTCCCCCATCCCCATTTCCCAGGTAGCCTGAGGGCTGCAGGAGGCCAGATAGACAGTAAGTCACATTCTCTGCCCACCTCCCAGCCCTACATCCCCGCTGAGGTTTTCAGGGAATTTTTCAAGTGCCAGATGACCAGGGAGAGAGAGAAGGTCACATTTCCCAGCAGCAGATGTCACCAAGATTACCTGGTCTTGTGGGCAGGTGGGCTGTGGGATTTGTAAAGCAGACTGTCAGATTAAGTATAGTTCTATTCTCTACTTCCTCAGGAACCAGAGCCTCATCCCCAATCCAGTGTTTCCTCTCCCACCCCAGACCTTTTGCAATTTAGGCCTCTGTCCCCTGTTTGTTCCTCACCTGAGATGGGCCAAGTGGATGTTCTCATAGATCTGGATTTCAGGTTTAAAGTGAGGAATGGAGGCATCTGGGGAGAAGTAGTCAGAATGTGTATAGAAGTCTCTAGATAATTCAGTTGTGTTCTTTTCTACTCCCTCCCCTAGAGAGGACAAGGTTCAGAAGCAATATATGAACCTTGACCTCACATATGCCCTCTTCTCCCTTCTGGAAGAGGGGGGACTCACCTCTGCCCTGAACCTCCCGGACTCTCCGCCTCCAGAGCATGATGCTGAGAGCTAGGATGGTGAATGCCTGGCCCACTGTGAGTGACAGCATCAGGATCCAAGTCACATCCCAGGCCATGGAAGGTACACTGAGGTTAGGAGAAGCTTCCATGGAGGCTGTAGTCAGAGCAAGACAAGAGGGATAAGGAGGGAGGCAGTGAAAGGACCTGTCCCTGTACCCCAAAGACAAACTCCTCCCAATCTGGTAGGATCTTCCTATAGAAGACTTCATGAGCTTCCCTGTCCCCAATATCCACCATCCCACTTTGCTCTTTTCCAGACCTCTCCCCCTGACCCCATGGGTAGTAGAAAACCTCAGTAGAGAATGACAGTGTTACCCTGTTCATATGTGGACAGCTAGCTCTAGAACAGACCACCAGCCAAAACGGCCCTCATAGTAATTCAACTTTTCAAGAAAAAATAAAGTGTCCTCCATTTATTTGTTCTTCCATTCATTCTTTATTCTCTAAGACTTGCTTAGTCTCACCACATGCTAGATACCATATAAGGTGGTAAGGATACAGAGGGCAATAAGGCCCAGCCGCTGCCCATTGACTGGCCTTTGATTCCCCAAAGAGTAGCCATTTGCTCCACATCCTGACTTAAATTAGTTATTCTACATCCAATAGTATTCATTCTTTCTTTAATGACCTTTTTTCTACTTTTTTTGTAGAACAAATATATATTTTTTCCTTTTGTCTTCTCTATCAATGGGCCATTAAAACACTAGTGCATATATCCTTTCTTCAAACGCAACTGCCCCAACAATAATCCTTATTTTCTTCATCTCTGCTATAGGATATTCCACAAAATCATAAATTACACTATTTCTAAACAATGGTATATTCCACTGAAATATATACATCTTTGCTGCTAGTCTATTCCACCAGAAAGTTGGCTTAACCAATCCCTTTCTCTGTTATGGACTCAGTCAATGATAAAAATTGCCTCCTCCTACCAGCAATGAATGATCTGCTCCAACAGAAGTCACCTCAACCTGTCCCTAGTTGTCTCCTATTCCACCTACTTTCTTATCCCAACTCTGGCACATTTCCTCCCTCGGTTTACCTGCCAGGCTAAAGCTGACTCCTTTATTCTGAGACACGAGGCACCGGATGATTCTTGGTCTATGGCCCTTGGGCTCAGGAAACCCTTCCCCAGGACACACCAAGAGCAGGGCAGCCCCATCACCCCAGAAGGAATGAACACGTCCTCTCACAGGACCCTTCCCTTCCAGCCAAGTCACAGAGTCCAGACGTCTGACAGGGACCACAAAGCACAACAGGACAGAGCAGGAGGATCCATCTGTAGCCTTTGCAGAGAACTGGGATCCTGTGGAGGAAAGAAGACCTTTCAATTCTTTGGGCTTCCCCAGTCCCTACAGCTTGCAGTCTCTGGGTTCTTTTCTACTCCCTCCCCATTCAACCTTAGGTTCCTATATGACTGGTACCAGGTTATTGGTATCTTACCTTTGAGAACAGAGACATCATACACTCTCCAGTTCTGATACCTGTGGTGCTCACCCAGCACGGTGCACCAGTACCGCCCAGCATCTCCATCCTTGGACCCCTCCAACCACAAGGAATAGTTTCCAAGGAGTTTGAGCCTGGATTCCTTTCCAGGTTTCCTAAGGTTTGGGATTGACCTGGTCACTTGGACCTGGGCCACCAGGATGGTGGAGGAGCCTGCTCCAGGGCTGTGGAACCATGATAGGAGTTCATCTCCATGTAGGGTGGGTGGTGAGGGACACGGCAGCTCCATCGCTTCCCCCAAGGCTACATAGATGACCTGGATGTTGTCTGTGAGGAGACAATTGTATGAGGCCAGAGACCTCGATTGCATCAAGGTCCTCCAACCCCTGGCTCCCTCCCTCTATAGGGTCTCCCAGCAGTGACTCAACTGATGAACACATTTCTTAAGTGACAACTACAAAGAAAGAGAGGTGGAAGGAAGAGTGTACAGACTTTCCTTCCCCCCTCCCCAAGCTGGTGGAAGGGTCTGGAGATGAGAGAAAAGCCTGGAATAGTTGGCAAATGCCCATCTCTTTAGACATTTACTCATCTGCTTTTATTTTCTAAAGGAAAGTGTACATAACCTGGACCCTCATTTCTTCTGGGTCTCCACCAGTGGTAGAGGCAGGGAGAGGTCAAATGGGTAAGTCTGTATTCTTGAGTTGGATGCATTCTCCAGACCTCTAAGGAGAAAGATCAGCAATCCCTCCCTAATCTTGCAAATAGCTGAAATATCTCCCACCTCCTGCCCCTTACCTGTAGCAGCCTGAGGGAGCCCACAGAGGAACAGAAGAAGGAGAAATAAGACTGCCATGGGGAGAGACTGCCAAGTTCTTTCGCTCTAAGACCTGGGGTTACTAGGGAGGAAACAGAAACCAGATAAAGGCCCATACTCCCTGAGCTGGAGTGACATGGGCCTCTGGAAGGGATGAGAATGCTGGGGAGATAAAACCCAGTTTCATGTCTACTGGGGAAAATGACCCCATCTTTCTGTTTTGGGGGTGGAGGAGAAACTGACTCAAGCCACTTTTACATAGATGGGGTTCCAGGTCTCTATCTCCAGTCAGTTTGGAGGTATATTCTGTGATCTTTCTTCCACTCCTGAGAGATATTAGCCATGAGCCAAGGTCCTGAGTTCTTCATGGAACCCAATACAGAGCTGGACATACAGTTAATGCTCCATAAATGATTGGAGTGAGTTTTGCAGTGGTTTCCTGGTATACCACAGACCTCTCTCTCTCTCTCTCTCTCTCTCTCTCTCTCTCTCTCTTTAATTGTGGATGAACATTTTAATTATTTTTATTTATTTATTTTTTCTGTGGTGCTAAGAATTGAACTCAGTACTTCACACATGCTAGGCAAGCACTCTACCACTGAGCCACAACCCCAGCACCTCTAGAACTCTTGAGAAATATTCTAAGCTATTAATCAAAGAGAAGAATAGCAGGGATCTGGATTATTCATTAATTCATCCCTCTGCTCCAGGCAAGACTGAAGGAAGCTCTTTATACAGTTCTAAAAGTTTTTAATGTGTTATTTATTTTAAATTAATTAATTAATTTTGGTGCTAGGGATCAGATCTAGGGCCTCATGCATGCTAGGCAAGTACTCTACCACTGAGCACAATCCCAGCCCCTACATTGATTAATTTCCTTATTTTTGTTGTACTGGGGATTGAACAGGGCTTTGTGCATACTAAGCAAGTGCTTTGCCACTATCTGCTTGTGTTTTTGAGGTGCTGGGGAATCAAACTGAGAGCTTTGCCATGCTAGGCAAGTGCTTTACTGCTGAGCCACAGTCTAGCCCCTTAAATTTTCCCCCTTCTCCTCCTCCTTCTCCCTCCTTCTCCTCTTCTTCTGTTTTTTATTTTTTCCCTGTACTGGAGATTGAACCCAATATCACTTTACCATTGAGCTATATCCAGCCCTTTTTTATTTTGAGACAGGGTCTTCCTAAATTGCCCAGGATGGCCTTGAATTTGCTATCCTCCTGCTTCAGCCTCTCAAGGAACTGGGATTATAGGCATGCATCACTGCACCTGACCTTAAATTATTATGTTTTTTTCTTGTTGGTGCATTATAGTTTTACATAATAGTTGGATTCATTTTGATGAAATGAAGTCATACATGCATGGATTTTAATTTATTCCATTATTGTTCCCAGTATCCCCCTTCCCTTCCCTTTTCCCTCTCCCTATTCTCCTTACTCTATTGATCTTTCATTCATTTATGTAATTATCTAAAAAAATTTCAGTTGTAAATGGACATAATACCTTTATTTATTTACTTTTTTATGTGGTGCTGAGGATCAAGCCCAGTGTCTCACGCATGCTAGGCAAGTGCTCTACTACTGACTACAATCCCAGCCCCTATTTAATCGATTGGTGCTTTAGAAATATACATAAATATGGAATTCACTATGGTATATTTATACATGCACAAGCATAATTTTGTCAAATTTATTCTGCATTTAAATTATTTTTGCTGATTATTTTTGATGAAATTCTTCATACCAGACTATATATGAGGTACAACTATATAAAAGCTAAAACTGTGAGATATATATATTTTGGGGGGGGGGCGTGGTACTGGGGATTAAACCCAGAGGGATTTTACCACTGAGTCATATCCCCATTCTTTTATTAAAATTTTTTTAAAATTTTGAGTCAGGGTCTTACTAAGTTGCTTAGGGCCTTACTAAGTTGCTGAGGCTGGCCTCAAACTTGTGATCCTCCTGCCTGAGCCTCCCAAGTTGCTGGGATTACAGGTATGGGGCACTGCTGCTGGCAAACTGTGGTATATTTACAGGATGGAATACTGGATAGTAAAGAGAACAAACACAGCCCTGCTATGAAGTTGAATCTCACAAGTGTCATCAGAGTAAAAGAAATCAGACACAAAGAATATGTATTGTGTGATTTTTATTTATATACAGTAAAAAAAAATGGAAAACTAATGTGTGGGTGAGAAATTCAGAGAGTGGAATATCTTGGGGGGGGGGCAGGTAGCAATTGGCAGGAATCCAGAGGTTCTTCTGGGTGCCATAATGATTTGTTCTTGATTTGGGTGCTGAATATATAGGTTTATTCACATCCATCCCTTTTTTTGTATATGTGTTTACTTCAATAAAAAACTAGAGTATATATATTATGTAGATGTAAGATACAATGAAAATAAAACAAATCTGTATATATGTTAAGAAAGAGAACATTACCATTTCAGTCAAAGTTACCTTATACTGTATACTATTTTAAATTTGGTCTTTGTCTTTCACTTGTTTTATTATTAAATTTTATGTGGTTTTGACTTTCATACAATGCTATCATATTCTATGTATTCTTATGTGGTTTTCTTTCTTTCCCTGAACATGATGGTTTGTTGTGCAAGAGAGGGATAATTCATTAATTAAAAAAACAAGAAAAAAAAAACAAGTATTACACATACTTTAACAATGTTGTTTTCCTATGATCTTCGTATGGCTCTTCATTTACTTAAGCCTTTGTTTACCTAGTTCAATAACTTTGTTTTTAAATATTTTTTTTAGTTGTAAATGAACCTTTATTTTATTTATTTATATGTGGTGCTGAGATTTTAACCCAATGCCTCATACATGCTAGGCAAGTGCTTCACCACTGAGTTACAATCCAGACTTCAATAACTTTTTTATATTTTTTTCTCATAAAAATCTAGCATTTCTTTTATTACGTGTCCTGCTAGACATCTTTTTTATAGCTCTTGTCAAGTGCTCCTAATCTTGTGTTTAGTTAGTTACTGGCACTAGGGACTGAACCCAGGAGCACTTTACCACTGAACTACATCCCCAGCTCCTTTTATTTATTTACTTATTTTGATACTGGGTCTCGCCAAATTACTAAGGCCTCCCTAAATTCCTGAGGTTAATCTTGAACTTGCGATCCTGCTTCGGAGTCCTAACTTGTTGGGATTACAGGTGTGTGCCACAGCGCCGGCAAGTGCTCCTAATCTTAACCAGGGTTTCTGCTATCACTCTAGAGTCTGTTCATATTAGAAAATAGAAAGAATGATTTAACAATTCCGGACAATTTTCTAAATTTCCCCGTTGCAAACGCTTCCTATTAATTTCTGACCATTGCTGTACCCGTAGGTCCAACAGCGCGAAACCCTTCCCAGTAAGCGCTGAGAAAGTCCCAACTCTGCACGAGGCGGAGCCGGTACGTGTTGACGTCAAGGGCACGCAACACCTCAGAGGCAGGGGAGGGCGGGGCCAGTAGGGGGACCTGCTGCTGGAAGAGCGGCGGCCCGAGCCGGGGCCATGGCGAAGCTACTGAGCTGCGTCCTCGGCCCCCGGCTCTACAAAATCTACCGGGAGAGGGACTCAGAAAGGGCCCCATCCAGCGTCCCCGAGACTCCAACTTCAGTCACTAATCCCCCTACCAGCTCCTGGGTGAGTCGAGTTCCTCCCTGGTCAAAAACATGGTACAGCCCAAACCTTTTACGGCCTTTGCTCCCCAGAAGTGCCCACTATTGGAAATAAGGGGAGTCTGCTTGTCAAGCCGGTTGTCCGAAAAGTCTGCGCTGTTTGTGTTTCCAGGGTTCAAGTCACGCCTGTGGACTACCCGCCTTCTCTCTTCATCGTTGTTTGAGCACTGCTTTCTCATTCCACTACCAGTCTTTGCTTTTTCCTCCCCGCATCCCCCCCACCCCATCTGTCATGGTTTATGCCGGCCCCACTTGGGTCTCAAGTCCTGCAAGAGACCCTGTGCGATTGGGGATCCGATGGATTTTGCCGTCATACTCCCAGTTTCTTCTTCGGTTTCCTTTGGTGCCTCTCCGGGCTTTGTTTATTTTTCCCTTTAACCTGGCATTGAGTTTCAAAATGACTTCTGCGCATCATGTATCTGTCTATCATGTATCTGCCGTTCTCCCCACCCCCCCCCACACACACCCTCCAAACCTAGCCTGGAGACCCCAGGGTCATTGCATTTACGAAATCTGCGGGTAGTGATAGACTATTCCCCTATTCTCTTCCTTTTATTGTTAGTCTCAAGTTATGTTTACTAACCTCTACAAACTGCCCACTCCTAGCCACATTCTTTCTTTTTTTAAAAAATATTTTATTTTTTAGTTGTAGTTGGACACAATACCATTATTTTATTTATTTTTATGTGGTACAGAGGATCGAACCCAGGGTCTCGCACATGCTGGGCGAGTGCTCTACCACTGAGCCACATCCCCAGCCCCACATTCTTTCTTAATCAACCTACTCTTATTTCTGTTGCTCTTCTTTCCCTCTTAGAATTGTCATGGTGTCTTTCCTTTCTTCTCACTAACCCTGCTCCCTGTAGGGACATGCTCAACCCATTTGCAACTGGGTTGTGAAAAAGAAGCAAAAGTTGCCCAATACTGCTTTCACTTTTGCTTATAAGTCCAGTACCCTGAGCTTGTTCTCATGGTCAAGGATGGAAAATCATGTTCAGGGTGGGGGTGGGGAAGAAAGTCTTTTGTAGAGGCTAGGAGTGTCTCAAGAGAGATAGCCAAGCAGGGTAGAACCAAAGGATGCATATTAGGGCTTTTGAAAGGGAAGAGGTAAGACTTTTTAATGGTCAGGGTCCTTAATGGGGCCATCTATTTTGGCAGGATACATACTATCAGCCCCGTGCCCTGGAGAAACATGCGGACAGCATCCTGGCACTGGTATGTCTACCCCAGCATCTGCTATTCACTGCATCTTTTCAGACCCAGCTGCCCTCTTGAACTTACTCTTCCCCAGGCCTGGGAGAAAGCAGTGCCCCTGGGGGTTGAGGGTGCTCTGAGCTTTGCTGCAGACCTTTCCAACACACACACACAGACATACTCTCAAGCGTGTACAGTTGGCACTCCCCTTTGTATGAAGCAAAACTTTCTCTGGGGCAGCCTAAACCCTGAGGAAAACATGTTTACTCTTGGGACCATCTGCAGGTGCTAAGTCCTACAGTCCCCTGTGACCTGTCCTCCCTGGCAACTAACCTCTTTGGCTGCAGAGACAGCTGTTCTCTCTGGCAGGGTTCCTATGGTGACGTTTGCGCATCTCTGGTCCCTGGGGACCAGGCCAGGGACTGTCCTGAGCAGGGCCAATTGAAAAGACTTGATTAACTGGAGTAGTTAGAGACTGGTCTTTAAATTGTGATGAGATTTTGTCTGGGAATGATTAGAGGAATAAAATAGAATCTGCACCTAGTTTTCCCAGCCTGCATTATGCTATGATGCCCTACCTTTCAACAAATATTAAGCACTTTCTGTGTGCATGATGTCATCCACAGAATAGATACTTGATATGATATTCCTCAGGTTATCTACCTTGCTCAGAGTCCAGGCCTGGAAATGGTAGACCAGTATGCATGTGTGCATGTGAGTATATTGATTGCCTGTCCCTATCTCTCTGCTGCAGGCTTCAGTCTTCTGGTCCATCTCTTATTACTCCTCTCCCTTCGCCTTCTTCTACTTGTACAGGAAAGGTCAGTGTGGTTTCAAAGGTGGTGGGGCAGGAAATGGGCAGGTTGTTGGCAGGTGAACCACCCCCCTAAAGAGGAAAGAGAACCTGTGAGGATGGCTTGGCTTCCCTCTTCCATCAGGCATATATTCTTCCTCTCAGGGTGTGGCTGTTCCAAAGAGAGGTGTTGGGGAAGATTGGGGGCTAGAGGGGAAGAAGAGCTAAGGAGCACTGTGGAGAGCTTCTCATATCATCCCTCTCCCCTCCCAGGTTACTTGAGTTTGTCCAAAGTGGTGCCATTTTCTCACTATGCTGGGACATTGCTGCTGCTACTGGCAGGCGTGGCCTGCCTCCGAGGTAGGTGGAGAGGAAGCCTAGTTTGGATTTGTCCATCACTGGGTAAATATTAAGTTATTTTTGTGAATACAGTTTGGTGCTGGGTCCTGAGGGGGAATAACCATGGATGGTCTAAAGCACAGTCTTTTCTCTAAGGAGCTAGAGAAATTCTTGCACAAGTATAAATAAGAATATAGCATGCATCATTTATAATAATCCTATTGGAAACACCTCCAATGGTCATGACATATAGGATGGATAAATAATACTTTATGGTATAACCATAGAACACTACACAGCAATGCAAATGAACAAACTGTATCTACACTTACTGCAGATGAATCTTACAAACATATGAAGTGGAAGAAGTGCACCATGATTTGATGTATGTAGTATGTTTTTACTTATATAAAATTTAAAAGGAATACTTATGTATGTGACAAGTCACTCAAAAGAACAAGGGCATGCTTATTTTGAAATTAAGGTGAATGATTCCCTGGGGTGGAGGAATACAGGATGGGAAGACTCCTGACTGGAAGTGGCTCTCTTGAACTGGGTGATAGTCACATCAATGTTTACTTTGTAGGGTTGTTTTTTTTTTGCGGGGGATACCCAGGAGTGTTAGACCACTGAGCTACATCCCCAGCCTTTTTTATTTTTTATTTTAAGATAGCATCTTTTAGTTACCCACCTGGCCTCAGTCTCTTGAGTAGTTCGGATTATAGGTGTGTGCCACCACACCTCACTTGCTTTGCATTTTTTAATCTGAATGTGTGTTTTATGTACATATGTTTCATTTTATTAGTAAAAACAAAACAAAAAGGCAAAACAAGTCATTGAGACTCGGTGGGTACATATTAATGACCACCAGGTGAGGGAGATGCTTCAGAGTGGAGATGTGGGGTTGGGACTGGATGGTTACAGTTGGGGTCACTCAGGTGAGGACCCCCTGCCTGAGGCATTCTTACCCCTGATCTCTGTTTGGCTGGGCTCCCTCCTCTGAGTGATTTTTCCTGACCACTTGTCTCAAAAGTAGCTTATACTACTCAAGTTTCAGCTTAATTTTTTATTTATTTTTAATTTAGAAAAAAACCAAAAAATCTAGAGAACAAAAATATTTTAAATATTACAATGCTTGTGTTTTTGCTATTTGCCTTGGTTACCTTTTTTGGGGAGGCGGGTATGAGGGATTAAACTCAGGGGCATTCAACCACTGAGACACATCCCCAGCCCTTTTTGTATTTGATTTAGAGACAGGGTCTCACTGAGTTGCTTAGTGCCTCACTGCTGCTGAGGTTGGCTTTGAACTCTTGAACTTCCTGCCCCAGCCTCCCAAACCACTGGGATTACAGGCGTGCACCACTACACCCGGTTTATTACCTTTTTTTTTTAATCTTTATTTTATTTATTCATTTTTATGTGTTGCTGAGGATCGAACCCATCGCCTCACATGTGCTAGGCAAGTGCTCTACCACTGAGCCAGAATCTCAACCCTGGTCTGTTACTTTTGTCAATAAAATATCAAAGCATTATAGTGGACTTGTATTTGCCATTGGAATCCTCCCAGCCCCACTTCCTCTTTGCCCAGAAATAATCATAGTTCATCTGGTGGACTATGATCTGGTCCATATTTTTGTACTTTTATGAATAATATACCTTCTTTTATCAAATCTAAGCTAACATTCATTGAAAAATGTATATTAATTTTAGAGTTTTCAAATATTAAAACAATTCTTCTTAGAATCTATGAAATATGGTAAGAATCTATAAACAATACAGTGTGATTTTGTGCATTTTACATTTTTGGCATAGGTGGCATTGCTCCATACAAATCATTCTGTATCTTGCTTCTTTTCTTATTGTCATTTTGTTCAGGGGCATTACCCTTGAAAAAGTTCTAGTTCATTCTGGTTTTATTGTTGTTGTAGCACTTAGACCACTCTGACAATTTTTTTAAAAGTTTATTGACTTTTCCTGGTTCCACCTCACCTCTATCAGAATGCCAGCTCTTTGAGGCAGGGAGCTATGCACCTCATTTCCTGCCTGTCTCCTCTGGGTAGAACAGTCCCTGGCATACAACACCTGCCAGGACAGTGAGCAGTAAGGAGAAAAGTTGGGATTTGATATTTCTCAGCAGTAAGGGAGAGTGGATGTGATCCTGAAGGGGGAGAGGAGTCAGCACTGAGAATTGCTGCCCTTCCCAATGGGAAGGAGAAAAGAGGCAGGAGAGAGGCAGTGTGGGAATCCTAAGGAAGCTAGGGCAAGCCCAGGAAGCAATGGAAGAAGGAATCTGGAGGGACAGGAAGAATGCTGGTGGAGCAATTGAAGAGAATAAGGACAGAGGAAGGGTACATAGATTCAGTGATGAGATAATTATGGGCAAGGGCAAGGGAGTGTGAAGCCAGATGGCAAGGGTTAGAACATACAGAAAGCAAGCACTGGAGAAGTCTGGAAGGGAAAAGTCAGGAATCCTGATGTTAGCAAAAGGGAAGAGTAAGGTTGGGTGACAGTGTTTTAAGACCAAGGAGAATGAACATTCTGAAAGATGGAAGCTTGCTAGTCTATAAAGAAACAAAATGAATCTCCAGCACCGAAAGAAAAAAATAGACAAACTGAAGAAGCTAAGGAATTAAAGAATTCTTTAGCCTTTTGCTGGATGTGGAAGAAGGAGGAAGGTCTGTTTCCCGACATTGTAGGCTCTCAGTTCCTTTTTCTCTTACCTTTCCTTCCAGGGCCTTCTTGCCCATCTCTCCCTAAGACCAAGACATCTTCCTTCCTTGTTTTCCCAATAAACTACTTCCTGTCCTCTCTCTGCCAGGCATTGGCCGCTGGACCAACCCCCAATACCGGCAGTTCATCACCATCTTAGAAGCAACACATCGGAACCAGTCTGCAGAAAATAAGGTGAGAAGTTCTAGGAAAGGTGTCAGACAACATACCCTGCTAGCAGCTTCCTCAGCTGCCCCCAGAGCTCCAGGCACCAGCTTCTGCCAGGAGGAGGTGGTGTGCTTTGCCACCCACCACACTGGGTCTTTGCCTGCAAATATTGCTGTGTCCTTTCCCTACTCCATAAATGAACTGTCCTCGCTATCACTTCTTATGAATATTCTGTTAGAACAACCCTCTTCCTCTGCACTTTCAATCCACAAGAATTGTCTAAAGGTAGAAATATTCATAATATTTCTTCTTCTTCTTCTTCTTTTTTTTTTTTTTTGCAGTACTGGGGATTAAATTCAGCATCTCAGAGATGTTAGGCAAACGCTTGTACTACTGAGCTACATCCCCAGCCCTCCATAATATTTCTTGGGAGAGTTTTCTATCACAGCAACTCAGTTCTATAAATATTTGTTTTTGTTGTATGCATTGAACACCATGCTAACTTTGTTTGGGGATGGGACAAGATGGACAGGCATAGCTACTCCTATGCCTGAGAGCACAGCGTGGCTCCAGGAGGCAGAAAAGCCAGGGCACAGTGTCCTTGAAGTTCTGCCAGGTTTGCCAGTGCTGGAGTGTGATTATCTGAGAAGGGGCTATGGGGCCCCATGAAGCTCCTTCCTGTTTCTGGGATCAGATAGCTATGATTACCATCAATGCCTTGATGATTACTCCATACCACCATTTATGGAGCTGTGTAATAATGCTCTGTACCTTGCCACTGTTCTGAGACATTTTGCATAATGCATATGTCCTTTCTAATTCTCATAACAGCTGTGTGAGGTAGCATAATTACCCTCATTTGTACATCTGAAGAAACATAGGCAAAAAGAGAGGTTAAGTTACCTGTGCAGAGTCACAGAGCAAGGAAGTGGCTGAGTCTAGATTTGAGAGCAGATCTGAACAAAGCCTGGCTGAAATTGGCTTTTCTTCATTTTGTTTTGTTTTGTCATTTATATTTTTGTACAATTTTTATATTGCTCTCTCTTAGTCAAGTTATTTTTGAAAATATCAAAAATTTCTCTGACAGGAGGAAAAAAAAACCTCCTCAAAATAGAGAGCCGGAGCTCTGGGGGTGGGGGAGGAACACAGTACAGCATGAAGATGCAGCTCCCATTGCCCGCAGAAAGCATGTGGGCTAACACAGCAGGGTGACCAGAGGCACAGATGGTCAGTGTGGCAGAACTGGCCCCTGGCTGCAGGAGTCGAAGAGAGGGAGCTGGCTGTGTGAATGGAATAGTCAGAGTTTTTTTTCCAGAATAGAGCCCACTGTGGTGACTTCCCTCCTGACACTCAGCCATGAGACCATCAGTTTGATCTGCTTGGGGATTTCTGAGCCACCAAGATGGCACCATTTAAGGCATCCAGGTAGAGAAGGGAATGTGACCAGCCAATGGGCCCCCACTCTCTATATCTGAAGCACCTGCTAGGGGTGGGTCAGTCTTAGATTCTTTAAAATGAAAAGTTAGTTTCCTTGTCTGGAAGAGGGAAGATGGGTCAGCACTGATGCTCAAATAAGACACCTGTCTTTCCCAATTGTTCTAGTCATAGTAGAGTTTCCATCTGAGAACTTGGAGGGTGCTGACCTCTACTTGGTCTCCTGTGACGTGTGGAGATCAGGCCTGTGGATGACAAGGATGTTGAGGGGGGATGGGGACCACCCACCCTCAGTTCTGAATTCCCCTTTTCCTCTACAACTCTTTCATACCCTGCTCACCACAGAGGCAACTTGCCAACTACAACTTTGACTTCAGGAGCTGGCCAATTGACTTCCACTGGGAAGAACCCAGTAGTCGGTGAGACCCCAGTCCTGTTACTCTATCCCTTCCTTGGAACTGTCTCAGATAATCCCTGTACTGCTTGTCCCTGCCCTCCATCCCCTCTCAGGTCCCAGGGCCTGTCTTCTAGTGCCACCTTCTCATTCCTAGACCCCCACCTTTCTCTGGACCTCAGATATCCAGCTTTCTTTTCTTGACCCTATCTTCCCTTACTTCTTTCTCTTTCTTAGGAAGGAGTCTCGAGGGGGCCCTTCCCGCCGGGGTGTGGCCCTACTTCGCCCAGAGCCCCTACACAGGGGAACAGCAGACACCCTCCTCAATCGTGTTAAGAAGCTGCCTTGTCAGATCACCAGGTGGGACATGATGCGGGAGGGAGGCCAGCAGGGTGGAGAGGACATGGGGTAAGGATCCTAGGACTGGTACTCCATCATAAAATGGCTGTCATTTATTGATTGGGCCTAGGGCCAAGTGCTTGTGTGTATCATTTGTGGTGAAGAAGTTTTTATTCACATTATGTGTGAAGAAAATACTCAGAGAGGACCAAAATCTCACAGGTGAAGAACTGGGATATTAACACAACTGTGTCTGACACAAAAGCTCTTTCAGTGTGACTGAGAAGGAACAGTGGGTTTGGGGGTAGAAAGGAAACACATCATCTGTAGCTGGAGCAGGCTCTAGTGCACTTCTGTGTAACCATCCTGGCTGCTTCGCTCCTTGGTTCTTCCACCCTGGCCCTTGGCCCCACTGTGCCTCAGTTTCTGCATCTGTGAGTAGCCTGCCTTATAGAGTTGTTGGGGAAAATAAGTAGGGTAACATTTCTGAAGGACTCATACCTTGCCTGGGTGCCTGTGCCAAGTAAGTCTTAGTTTATTGATGACAGAATAACAATAGCAACCACTCATATCTTACAGCAAAGCAGATGCTGGGCATTTTCTTTTGTGGGGAGATGGGGCATTTTCTAGAATACTAAGGAAGGGGTTGGACTAAGGGGTTGATTGTTGACAGTGTGCTGATCAGTAGATGGGCAAGCCAGATTTGAGGACTTGTTTTTGAGGTACTTGAGAGGCCTCACGCATGCCAGGAAAGCGCTTTACCACTGAGCCTTATCCCCAACCCCTCAGATTTGAGGTTTTGAAGGGGATGCTAGAGAGTTTGTGAGACATTCTGGGGCTGTCCAACATCAAGGTTAACTGGAAATTGTCAATCATCTTTTTCAGGAATAGCACCTACCATATCTTATCTGTCTAGATTAGAAAGTTTGTTCAATAATTATTTATTAAGCCCCTACTCTACAGTGCTTTAGGTATCTCCTATGTGGCAAGTACTGGGCATATTGCATTATACAAAATAGTCAGGTCCCTGCCCTGATGGAGTTTGTGGTCTAGTTTGATGTCTTTCAAACTACGTATTTTGACCCACTAGTCAATCTTTTTTTTTCCTTTTTTTTTTAAAGAGAGAAAGAATTTTTTTAATATTTATTTTTTAGTTTTTAGTGGACACAACATCTTTATTTTTATGTGGTGCTGAGGATCAAACCCAGCGCCCCGCGCATGCCAGGCAAGCGCGTTACCGCTTGAGCCACATCCCCAGCCCTTAAATGTGTTTTTAACAGTGATATTTTCAATTTACAATGATTTTGTTGGGCTGTAACCACCTTATAAGTTGAGGAGCATCTGTGTATATATGTATATAGTGGGCCACAGTAGAAAATGTACATATTTACAATTCTTACAGTTAAAAAAAAAGTTTCAAAAACAAACCTAGCACATATATTATTTCATTAAGTCCTGAAAGAGGACTGTGAAGCTGTGAAGGTCAGTGGTGAAGCAGGCTCACCATTCTGACAATGCTAGAGCTGAGTCAATATCCAGGCCCCACTGGGGATTTGGGGTTCATTAATCCATGTTTCCTACAGCTACCTGGTGGCACACACTTTGGGGCGCCGGATGCTATATCCAGGCTCTGTATACCTGCTCCAGAAGGCCCTCATGCCTGTGCTGCTCCAGGGCCAGGCCCGGTTGGTGGAAGAGGTGAGGCCCCCTGTCTTGCCCCCTGCTGGCCCTTCTCTTCCCCAGAGATGTAGCCTCTTGCTCCTCACAACCTGGCCATTACATCTCCCTAGTGTAACGGCCGCCGGGCAAAGCTGCTGGCCTGTGATGGCAATGAGATTGACACCATGTTTGTGGATCGGCGGGGGACAGCTGAGCCCCAGGGACAGAAGCTGGTGAGAGACCACAGGGACCAAAGGTGGTGTGCGGGGAGGGCAGTAGAGGCTCAGGGGACCCCAGTCATAGACCTTCCCTGTGGCATCAGAGTGGGGAATAATCCAAGCTGCACCCTAAAGCCCTCTATGGAAAAAACTCTAAGACAGGGAAATACAAGTTCAAAAAATAATAATCATAGTTGTCACTACCAAGAATATTTATTCCATGTAAGACATATATTGTAATCTTCTTAACAATCTTGTGAGATAGGTACTTTTCACGTTAGCCCATTTTTATATGTGATGAAACTGAGGCACAGAATAACTTTCCTAGCTCATACAGTTAGTAAGTGGTAGCATTGTATGTGAATTAAGGCAGCCTGGCTCCCAAGTCTCCTGCTTCCATGAAGGAGCTCTGGAAAGAGCACTGACCCAGGAATCTAGGAGCTGGGTTCTAGGGCTAACTCTGCCTGCTATGGGAGTTCATGCAGGTCCTACCATCTCCGGGCTTCAACTTGGGACACCATGGAACTAGAGTTTATCTAATTAAAAGATTAAAGCCCAATGAAGGAGAAGGAGAAGGAAAGCAGTAGGCATGTCACAAAACAGGGACAGGCACAAAACAGACCAAAAGCTATGAAGGAAAGAAAATTCAGGCTCTGGGAGTGTAGCTCAGTGATAGAGCATTTGTGAGGCTTTGGGTTCAGTTTCCAGTGTGCTTTCGTGATCCATAATCCCATCCTCTCCTAAGAGCAACCTACCTGGTGGCCTCCCAAGGGAAAATGGACATTGTACTGGGTGGTGGAGCGATCCAACTTGAGTCATCTTCCTCTGAGGGTCCAGTTTGCCAAGCATTTGTAGTCACTTTGCCTCTCATCTTATGGACTTTGTGGAATGATAAGTTTTTATTCACCTCAAAAAAGAATAGGAACTTCCCTTTCCTCTTCCCTACACAGCTCTTCTCAGGCTGCCCTCCCTGTTCATGTGGGAATTTCCAGTGGATCTCTGAGCCTTGCCTTTCTGTCTCTTTCCTAGGTGATCTGCTGTGAGGGGAACGCCGGGTTCTATGAGGTGGGCTGTGTCTCCACACCCCTAGAAGGTAGGCCATGGCTCAGCCCTCTTATTTCTGCTCTTTGGACTGGAATATACCTACCGCTCACACTGCTCTGATCTTCCCAGAACTAACCTTTACTTTCTCAGAGTGAGGTCTCAGTCTCTCACTTTTGGGGAAAAGTCCACTCCCCATTTGTTTTGTGAATCATATATTGTTCCCCTTTTCCGTATCCCCTACCTTTATTATGCTCTTCATTCTGTTCCACCACACAGTCATACATCTTTCCCTTCTGCTGCCTCAGAGGTTTTGGCATCATCTCCTTATCCTGGGAAGGCATGGAGCAATTTGCCTGAGTTTGGAGGGTACTTCTGCTGTCTTTCCCTCAGGGACAGAGAGGGGCATGGACCATGAGGTTTCAGTCCCTCCTTCCCTTGTGTTACAGCTGGATATTCAGTCCTGGGCTGGAATCATCCTGGCTTTGCTGGAAGCACGGTGAGACCCTCCTTGCAATCCCTTTCTTTTCCAGAATTATTTCTGGTGAGCTACTGGAGAGGAGGAAATGGGGTGCAATTTCTGTGGGGGCCTTCCATTCACTGAGGCTAGGTGCTGAGGGCTGGGAGGCTGTAAATGTGAAGGCAGCATGGGAGCTGCCCCCCCCCACACACACAGTTGGGGGCTGGCTGAAAGGCAGTGGATCTCAAACATTGTCCTCTCCCACCACCTTTTTCTTCCACATCTTCTCTGTTGCAGGGTGGCTGTAGGAAGGGTCCATATTAGGAGGATGCAGGTGGCAGGTGAGCTGGCCTTTGGTGTGACCCCCTCCTGCCTTTGCCCTTCCTCCTGCAGGGGGTGCCTTTTCCTCAGAATGAAGCCAACGCCATGGATGTGGTGGTCCAGTTTGCCATCCACCGCCTGGGTTTCCAGCCCCAGGACATTATCATCTACGCCTGGTCCATTGGTGGCTTCACTGGTACCAGTTTTCTTTCCACATGCCACTGTAGACACATTCATGCCCCCCACCTAGGAGAGGTGGAGAAATACACCAATGGCTCTGGATGGGGGTAGAGGCTCAAGGAAGAAGAGGGAGGAGTTAAAAATCTCTAGGTGGGCCCAGGAGTAGATATCTAGTTGTATAAACTTCACCTTTCCTTCCTTCCTTGAAGTAGCCAAGAGTCCTTGGTGGGTAGTTCAGGGAAAGAGTATGTTCTGCCTACTGTCTTTCCATGCACTGGGATATCTTCTTCTCCAGATTGTGCCCTGGCCAAGTGAAGTGGGGTTTAAGGAGAGACCAGGGGATAACATCCTGGCTAGGGTGGGGTTGGCCCATGGGATGAGGGTGTGTATGGTAGGCAAGAGCATCTCTCAGTCCTTGCCTTCTTTCTTGTTCTGCTACTAGCCACATGGGCAGCTATGTCCTACCCAGATGTAAGTGCTGTGATCCTGGATGCCTCCTTTGATGACCTGGTACCCTTGGCTTTGAAAGTCATGCCAGACAGCTGGAGTGAGTACAGCTCCCAGGACTGTCCTTCCAGGGAAGGGTTGGGCTGGAATTAGGAGATGGTTTTCATTTGTGTGCGTGGGAAGAATTAGGAAGGCTCAGACCTCTTATTTCTGCTCAGTTTTTTTCCTGTGAACAGTGGGGACCTCTGTGTTGGGTAAGGTCTTTGTCACTGCTATCCCTTCACCTTTATCCCACTCTAGGGGGCCTGGTGACCAGGACTGTGAGGCAGCATCTCAATCTAAACAATGCAGAACAACTGTGCAGGTGAGGGCAGGCAAGTGTCCAGCATCTCACTCACCCCCATTACCCACCAACCCATGCCACAGCACTGCTGGGCATTAATATACTGAAAATAGCCCTAAATGGAAAGCTGGCAAATAGCCACTGCCCCATGAGTTACCTGTCACACCCAGTCACACCTCAAATCCCCTGAGATCCTGAACTTCCTCAGGATCTGGCAGATGGATTAGGGCCTGGCAGAGCAGGGCTCCCCGCCCTCAAGATCAAACTAAGCAATGCCTGCCTGCCTTTCTTTCTCTCTTTCTTCTTTCTTTAATAATGGGAATGGAACCCAGGGCACTCTACCACTGAGCTACATCTCATCCTTTTTATATATATATATATATTTTTTTTTTTAGTTTTTGTAGTTGTAGATGGACAGAATGCCTTTATTTGTTTATTTTTATGTGGTAGTAAGGATCAAACCCAGTGCCTCACACATGCTAGGCAAGTGCTCTGCCACTGAGCTACAGCCTCACTTCCTTCGTTTTTATTTTTGAGACAGGGTCTCACTAACTTGCTGAGGGCCTCACTAAATTGCTAAGGCTGGCCTTAAACTTGTGATCCTCTTGCCTCAGCCTCTGCAGACACTTGGATTATAGGCATGTATCACCATGTCCTGACTGCCATGCCCATTTTAAATATTCTGACCTCACTCCTGGGTGAAGGCTAGCTTAGGATGGGGATAGACAAGTTGTTACTTTTCTCTGTCTGAGCTTTACTTCCCTGATGCTCTGTCTTGAAGGTACCAGGGCCCCGTGCTACTGATCCGGAGAACCAAGGATGAGATCATCACCACGACGTGAGTGCTTCGGAGCTTCTGCCCTCCCCAGATCTCAGAGATGGCTAGAAGTTGCCCCTGCCACCTCTGCCTACCAGAAACACAGCTTTTTAGATCCTTCCTTCCCAACCTCCAGCCCCTCCAGAGTAATTCTTCTCATCCTCAGGGTTCCTGAAGACATCATGTCCAACCGAGGCAATGACCTCCTTCTGAAGCTCCTACAGTTTCGGTGAGAGCTGGTAGATGGGGATAGACACTAGCATGGGGAGGGAGGGAAGTTTTGGGGTGAAGAGTGAAGTGAAATCAGTCCTAACCTCCTTTCTTTGGTGCTTCTCTGTAGGTATCCTCGTGTGATGGCAGAGGAAGGTCTTCGTGTGGTGAGGCAGTGGCTGGAGGCCTCTTCACAGCTGGAAGAAGGTGAGAGGTACCTGATAATGCTTGTGGCAGGGGCCTAACAAGGCCAGGTTGCTTATAGGTTTTCATTTCTCTGCCTGAACAGCCTCTATTTATAGCCGATGGGAGGTGGAAGAGGACTGGTGTCTGTCTGTCCTCCGTTCCTACCAGGCAGAACATGGGCCTGACTTCCCCTGGAGTGTGGGTAAGGAGGGCAAATGAGGAGAGTCCAAGAAGGGGCTGAATACCTAAGCACCTGGCCAGGTTTAAGTGCCTCTTCTCTGCAGGGGAGGACATGAGTGCAGATGGACGGCGGCAGCTGGCTCTGTTTTTGGTGAGCTCAGTGAGAAGCAGTGGAAGGGGACTGAATGGAAGGGGTCACATATAGAGTTTGGGGACAGGGGATCCCTTGTAAGCAATAGAAGTGGCAGCTTTCATAGAGTGGTGAATTTGGAGGGTGGAGGATGGGAAGTGAGGAGGGTGTCCAATGGCTTCTGCTGCCTATGGTGCTCTGTGCCCACTTGCCCCACCCCCTTTCCTCAGGCTCGGAAGCATCTGCACAATTTTGAGGCCACACACTGCACCCCACTTCCTGCCCAGAACTTCCAGATGCCCTGGCACCTCTAGGGACCACATTGGAACACATGGAAGAACAGGATGGGGGAGAATGAGGGAGGACCCTCTTATTTGTGATTCTCTATGTTCATGTTGCTGTTTGTAGTTTGTGGAAAGTGGGGGACCATCCCCCTCCTTACCACAGTTCCTTTTGCACGTTTCCCCTCATTCACATGACAGCACCTAACCTTCCCCTATACATATCCTGCATTAAATGAATGGATTATTCCTAATAATTAATATAAAAAGGTATTTTTTCTACTATCTGGCTAATTGTGTGACTTCACAGATGTTCAGCTAGGGGGTGGTACTGGGGAGAGCAGAGGCCCCAAAGGGCCAGGCTTTGGGAAAACCATAATTCCAGACAATTAGCTTAACTTTCCCCATCTCTGTGTACCCCTTGGCCTTCAACCACAATCTGAGCTGTCCTCATGCAGCAAGTCCCAAAGCCTAACCTTTCCCTGGAGTGCCTAGGGTTATCACAGCTGTACAGCTTCCCTAGCTTCTCCTTCCTCCTTCCTCGGTCTCCTGCATACCACAGTCCTAGGAGCCTGTGGTTGCCCCCTCTAACTTATAACCTGTTTACAAAGTGTTTTCTAGTATTTGATTTCACCTATTCAACTTCTCTGCTGATTTCCAGGTCCAGTTTGTATGGTGTCACTCTCAGCCCCTACAGCTATCCTTGCTCAGCTCTTCTCATCCCAACAAGGAGTGAGAAGTAGTCTGTTCTTTCTTGGAGTCTTATGCAGCAAAACCTGTCCACTTTCCTCACCATGTCATCAAAACTGTCCTCCCAGTTTTGCAGTTCAACACAGAGCTTGCCAGGGACCTTAATGCCTGGAGCCAAGGACACCTGTCTTCCCAGAGCCATGCTTTATCTTTTGGACAGCTCTGTTAGAAAAGTCTTAGGTTAGTCAGATCCAGTAGTGCATACCTGTAATCCCAGTGGCTCAGGAGGTTAAGGCAGATGATGGATCTGAAGTTTAAGGCTATCATGAGCAACTTAGGGATACCATGTCTCAAAAAAGGGGTGAGTATATAGCTTAGTGGTAGAATGACCCTGGGTTCAATCCTCAATGCTGCAAATAATAATAATAATAATAATAATAATAATAATAATAATGAAGGAAAAGAAAGAAAGAAGGAAAGAAAAATAAAGTTGTTAGATTTAACCTGAGGAAATCAATTCCCAAAAATTTCTAATCCTTGTACCTTATGTAACAGAATATATTCCTCTTCCATCCAACAGTTTGTGGCTTGGCTACCTTCTTCCCTCAGAAACTTCTGTTTTTCAGATGATATACCCCCAAGTTTACTATACTACCTAGTAACCATCATTAGGTATAAGATGCTTAACATGAGCGAAAATGTTCTGATGTTCTAATTATAGTCTCTGGCTGATTTCTGTGTCTTCTCCAACTCCAATGCATGACCCTCCTCTAATCTGGGGGACAGAGGCTGTGTCTGCCCCAGCAGCTCAGCAACTCCTTAAGAGGGTATTCCCTCTCCACAGGAAAGGGAGATCTGAGATGTATCAGGTGATATGGGCCTGAAATTTGGGGTTAGAGGGGAGGTGACTATAATTCCAGAATGCTGTGCCTTTTGCAAGTTTGATCCTGACACCCTTCTCCTCTGTCTCATCCCAGGGGGTAATGGGCTGGGAAGTGTGGAACAGGAAGCTGTGGGACCAGCTGCATGGTTCTGAATCTCACTCTCCCAGATGCATCAGGACAGTTAATCTCTTGGAAACAAAGACTTTGTTTGGGCTGGGGATGTGGCTCAAGTAGTAGTGTGCTCACCTGGCATGCGTGTGGCCCTGGGTTCGATCCTCAGCACCACGTGCAAATAAAGATGTTGTATATGCCAAAAAAACTAAATAAATAAATAGTTAAAAAAAAAAAGACTTTGTTCAGCCAAGGAAAGCTTCTTAAGTGCAAATAGGGGGTACCCATTTCTGTCTCCCATACCCTGGAGACAAGAACTCCATTTCCTAGCCCTATATAGGCATTAGGGACATTGTAGACTTTCCCTAAAGCCACTTTTGCCCCACCTTTCTACACATACTATAAAGAACAGTGGATGACAAGAGGGGACCCTTGGATTCCCCAAATGGGTAAGGGTAGGGGAGGACCAACATGTTGATTTTCCTAAAAGTACCCCACTCAGGAGCCTTAGTCTATGTCAGATTATTCCACACCTGATAAGGTCAGAGTTGCTAAATAGAACCACCCTTCATCTTGGGATGGGACCAGCTCCTGGTCCACTCCTCACTCTATATAGCAAGATTCCAGAAGAGGTCAGCTGAGATGCCCACCACACATCTGCTGGGGCTCTCTGGATCCTCCTCTACTGGGCACCAAGCAAGGCCTGAATACCCAGGCACCTGAGGAGCTGGGAAAATGGCATGAGAGTGGAGGCTAGATGGCAAGTTAGAGTCTGGCAGGAAACCTGGGAAGAAGGGGGCAGGTCCCTGGACAGGGCCATGCTTTATCCTACCTTATCCCATTGACCCAAGCTTTGCCTTCAGCTGCTCCAAGTGTGAGGTTCTGACTTGGCTCTGGGCTGGGCTGTGTGTTTGAGAGTTTGCTCCACAAGCCCGGGAGGGGCATGTGTCTCTCCACAAAGCTGTCACAAGTAAGTGAGGGTCTTTCTGGTGAAGGATCCCTAGGGGGTGGGGCTCAGACTTTGCGGGTAGCGATGTCCCCACGTCCCCATCCATCATCATCCATCCAATCAGGAAGCCAATCTAAAGACCCAGTCTAAAGTTCTGCAATCCCTCAACAGAACTTGCCTCATTCCAAGCTGAGGCAGGAGGATCACAAAGTTTAGGCCAGCCCAGGTAACTCAGCGAGATCCTGTCTCAAAATAATAAAAAATAAATTTTAAAAAAGCTGGAGATATAACTTAGTGGTAAAGCATCCTGGAATCAATTCCCGGTAAAATAAGTAAGTAAATAAATAAATAAATATTCAAAGGGCTGGTGATGTAGTTCAGTGGCAAAGTGCCCCTAGGCTTGAATCTCAGTAACACTAATAAATAAGGAGAAAGGGAGGAAAAAAAGAAACACCTTTCTCGCAGAGCCTACCCCTTTACGGCCCCGCCCTTCGTTTGCCAAGCCGGATTCCTCCAACTGTGCCCTTCAGTCCTCAGGCCCCACCTCCTCGCTTTCGTCACTTGGCTGCCTACCCCTAGGCGTCCTTAGTCCGGAGGGAGGAACAATCTGCTTGGATACCTTCGTGCCTTGCTATCACCATAGCGACTGCTATAACGCCCCACCTCTGTACCCTAGGAAAGCTTCGGTGGAATCCATCACCACGAAAACGAACTCTCGCGGCGCTTAGCGTGTGCGGCCCCGCCCTGCCGCATGAACGAGGCAAGGAATAAAAAGAAGCAGGGGCTGTACTAATGATTCTGAGACCATGTCTGTCCGGCGGAGACGGCTCCCACCAAGCACCCGCCCTCCACTCCCGGGTCTTCCTATAGGTTCTGCTCAAAGCTTGCGGGGCTGTAACGTTACTGCGGGGCAAGTCTTCTCGTACCCCACTTAAGCTTCGCTTAGCTCCTAGTTTGGCCTTTCAGGTGCGGTTATATTCGATAAAGGGGTTCTGAGGGCTCCGTAAAATTTCCCTTTGACTCCGCTTTGCCCTTTTCGCTTCCAGAGGAGCCCTCGCTCGTTGATTTTTTTCCTTATTATTCCATGAACTCCCTCATTTAACAGGTGACAGGCGCTTCTCTCCCAGTTCTTCGTTCTGTAATACAGCGTTGAAATTTCATTCATTCCAAGACGGGTAGGGTGGGGTGCGCAGTAGCGTGCGTTTTTCTCTAGTGTTTCTTCCATCCCGTTATTTCTGGGACCCGTCCTTGCTTTTCCTGTCGGTTTCTTACCACCTTCCCCATCAACACTACAAGATCGCATGATTCTTGAGTAGTCAGGGCATTAGCAGAGTATCCGGCTTCAGGACCCCGCCCCAAACCTCCAAAGGAAAAACCGGAGCAGGTGATGTCGTCCTGGACGCCGAGGACCTCCCAGTGTCCTTACTTTTAAGCCCAGTGTCCTTAAAAGTAAAATCCCTGAGTCTATCTGCGACTGATCTAAGGAGGTGGGGACTGAGCTGGTGAAGTGGGGGAGCCCGGCAGGTCTAGCGCCGAGGAAATGGGTGGGGGCCCTGGGGCCGCGGACTCCGGAATCCACCCGGAGGAACGGTGGTACTACAGCACCACCTTCCGGGTAAGCCGCTTCATGCACAGAGTGTCCGCTGGCTCACCCTTGGGTCCCCGCGCGCCGCTCGCGCTGGCTTGACGCCAAGCGAACTGTGCTTGGGCAGGGGCCGCCCCCGCATCCTCCTGAGAATTCTAAGTGCAGTCAGGCGCGGAGAGAGAACGCACGGTGCGGGAACATGTAGGAGCCGGAGATTAGACTCACTGACCTGCACCTGAGCTTGGGTGGGGGTGGAGTAAAAGGGGTGGTGGGGGAGAAGGTGCCCCGGAACCTCAAGGGGGCACCAGTCTGAGAATAGGGGTGGGGAGAGTGTCACTGTTTCTCTGTGATCCAGATGTTCCCGCTTTTGGAAAGACATGGTACTTGGAAAATGATACTACCAGTCATCTCCTCGTGCGAATCTATTCCCCATTCCTTCACTTACTCATTCATACACCAAATCTGTACAATATTTTTTTCTAAATGCTCAGGTTCTTTCATTCTCTTCAGCGAGACCAGGCCGCCATCTTGTGACTGAACTCGGGAATAGCTCCCTATTTCCCTGCATTCTCCCATTCTCCCATGTGTAACAATGGAAATCTTTTTTTTTTTTTTTTTTTTTACCAGGGATTGAGCTCAGGGGCACTCAACCACTGAATGATATCCCCAATCCTATTTTGTATTTGATTTAGCAACAGGGTCTCACTTAGTTGCTTAGTACCTCGCTGTTGCACAGGCTGGCTTTGAACTCTCTCGATCCTCCTGCCTCAGCCTCCCAAACCTCTGGGATTACAGGCAAACAATGGCAGTCTTTTATGAGAAATCTGATCGCCTTTCTCTTCTGCTGAAATCCCCCTGGATAGTGATTTCTACTATCCATGTGCTCCCAGCAGCACTCTGCCTCTTCCCACCATTGCCTGTTGACTTGTCTCCTCCACTAGACTGTGCCCTGTGAGGGCAGGGGCTTTGGACACTGCTTATCTTCAACATCTGATGCAGTAAATCAATAAACATCTGATGAATAATATAAAAGTTTCCCTCTCATTCTTCTGTTTCTGGGTCCCTGCCCCAAGCAGGATGTTAAGATCTGGAGTGGCTGTGGGTGAGGACACTCTGATCTGACTGTTCTGGCACTGATTTCCATCCTAAATGTGTTGCCTCTCTCCTTCCTCTTGGCCAACCTCTTTTCCACCAATATAAGCCCAGAACAGAGGCCAGAGGGCAGTGGTGCATTTCATGGCAGGCTTTTCAGGGAGCTTGAGTCTGGGGCCTCTGAGCCTCCACAGCATCCCCCAATCCCTGTACAGCATCTTCTTAATAGTGATGGTCATGATGAGCTTGGTATTTGGTAAGTGGCTCCAAGGGTTCAGAAGGGTTTCCTGGCCTGCTGGATGGAGAAATAAATAAACTGATTGTCTGGGTACATATGCCCAGGATGCTTAGGTAAACCCAGGCAGCAGAAAAGATGCAATGGACAGGTGTGGTAGGGAAATACCTGGGTTTGCCTAAGGACTGATATTGACCCTGAGGGTCTTTTCTAGGAACTGCCCCATGGCTGTCTCACTTAGTGACAGTGATCTGAATGGAGATACTGAAGGGATTCTATCCAAATCTGAGGACAACGGAATAGGGAAGTTTGAGAAAGTACTTTCCCAACGATGGAAGCAGAATCCACAAAGTAGAACTAGGCTAAATTCTGTTTGATGATCTTACTGGGATGAAAGCACCATCTATAGAGAAACAGGATTCAAAGTGTTTGTTTAGTATTTGCCTCTGCCTCACCCAAGTGCTCTGCTGAGTCTGAGGTTTCATTAATGTTTGGTCTGAGCTGAGGACTAAAGGAAGAGGGGGATGTATATACATGTAGTTGGGGAAGGAGGGAGAGAATGGGTATTTGAGTGGACAAAGTTTAACATGGGCCTCTCCTGTGATAGGACTGCAAAAACAAAGCATGTGGCATGGGCTGCTTGACGTCCCCTGTCTGCATGAAGCATAGTCTTTCTGGCCTGTGATGCACTCTTGTTTTTACTTCTCAGCATTATGGATTTTAAAAAGTTCATGTCAAGTATGTTGGGGAACACCTGTAATCCCAGCTACTCAGGATCCTGAGGCAGGAGAATTGCAAGTTCAAGGCCAGCCTAGGTAACTTAGTAAGACACCGTCTCAAAAAAAGCTTTCCTGGAAAGTGTGAGGCCTTGGGTTCAATCCCTAATATCACAAATAAAATGAAGCATGTTTGGAAAAGAGTCTGGGGGACAGAGGATTTAGAGAGAAAGTTACAGAGGAAGAACTGCCCTGACAGGGCTGTACAAAGCTGGTATGTGCTGTCTTAGCCTCACCTGTGAATTTGAGAGAGACTGAGCGCTGGGCAAATGTTAGCTCTTCAAATACATATTGAATGAATGAATAAGTGATTTAATGAATTCTCACCTTTAGAGGCAAAAGAAGAGAGAAGAAAGATTTTTTTAATAAGGACTAAAGCTTCTGCTACACTAAACCAAATGGATTTAAAGAATCAGGGATTTTATGGTTTTCTGAGGTGGGGAGAGGACAATGGGATTGGCCAACCCAGAATCAGGTATGAGGGGTTTGGGTTCATTGCTTTTCTGTGTTCTAGGTAAGCTTGTTCCTGACAATCCGGGACCCCCTCAACCACCTCATCTCCCCAAATACCTGCGTTGCTATAGATGTCTCTTTGAAACCAAGGAGTTGGGGTGCCTTCTGGGATCAGACATCTGCCTCACTCCAGTTGGCAGCAGCTGCTTCACTCTGCATATAAAGAACAGTAAGCTGCCTTTTCCCACCATGGGCCCAGCCCTCTTAAGCAGCCTCTCCCAGCCTCCTAAACAGTACCCCAAGTCCTGTTCCTACAGCCGTAGGACACTGTTCCATCTCTTTCCTTCAGAATCACTCCCTATCTCCACTTCCACCAGCTTCCCTCCTCAACCCACAGCTGATTGGCTCCTACCCTCTTTGGCACCCAGGTTTGAAGGGGACCTTGGAGATCTCCAGAGGTATAGGCCTTTCCTCAAGTTGCCTGCTCCCCAGCTATCCGCATAGTTCCTATATGTGTCACTCTTCTGAAACTTCCACTGGTCCTCATAGTGACCTTCACTGTCTTGCCTTATCCCCCTGACACTCAGTGATTCATGTTTGGGTCCTTAGCTGTCTTCCACTGCATAGCTCTTCCTAGAGGACATTATCTGCTTCCTTGGCTTCAACCAGCAGCCACAGAGTACTTCCTCCTGGATCTGAATGTTACACTGAACCACTTTCCTTGTGTCCTGTTATCTACTGGACATCTCTACCTCATTTTCAACTTGCCGAAAATTGACCACGTTCCTTCTTTCCTCAAGTCTGTTCTTCCACCTAGTCCCCTGCCTGCTTTTCTTCCCTCCCTCTCTCTTTTCCTTTCCTCCCCTCCCTCCCTCCTTCCTTCCTTCCTTCTTTATTATTATTTAGTACCAGGGTTTGAACCCAAGAGTGCTTAACCACTGAACCACATCCCCAGCCCTTTTTGTTTATTATTTTAAGACAGGGTCTTGCTAAATTGCTGAGACTGGCTTTGAACTTGTGAACTTCCTGCCTCAGCCTCAAAGCCACTGGGATACAGGTGTTTGCCACCACATCTGGCTATTTATTTATCTTTTGAGACATGGTCTCTCTATATTGCCCAGACTGGTTTCCAACTCCCAAAGCCTCCTAAGTGCTGGGATTACAGATTCACACCACTTTCTCCTACCTTTACTAAGTTAACAAAGACAGCACACACACTCTGTGTCAGGTACTGTTTATTTTAGAACCTTATGAGGCAGTATATTATCCCCACTTTACAGATAGGGATATAAAGATGTAGAAAGAAAAAAAATCTGCTTGAATCTCAGAGGCTGGGTCAGAAGTAGTGGCTCCACGGATGGTGTTCTTAACAATCAATGCATGAAATTGCCTTCATTTACATCCTTCCACTACATTTTTAAATTTTTTAAAAAATTTTTTCAGCCATGCTGGACATTGAACCCAGGGCCTTAAGAGTGCTAGACATGTGCTATATGACCAAGCTGTATTCCCTAGTCCTCTCATTACTTTATCCTGTCTGCAATCTTCTGTGCACATTTCACCCTAAATATGCTGCTTTTTTTTTTTTGGTACTAAGGATTGAACCCAGGGGTGCTCAACCACTAAGCCATATCCCAAGCCCTTTTTTTATATTTTGTTTAGAGACAGGGTCTCACTGAGTTGCTAAGTGCCTCTATAAGTTGCAGAGGCTGGCTTTGAACTCGAAATCCTCCTGCCTCAGCCTCCCAAGCCAATGGGATTACAGGCATGCACCACTGCCTGGCCCCCATATTCTTTTATTCACTCTTTTATTTCTCCCAGACAGTAGCAGACCATAATAAACACATAAACACTGTTCTGCATTTGCTTTTTAAATTTGATAACAGTTATGAGGACTTAATGTTTCCATATCAGGTTATAAACAGCTTTGTTGTTCTGTTGAGGTATTCCACTGTACTTCATGGCAGTGGGCATATCAAAGCTGATTTATTCATCCTACTATTGATAGGCATCTAGGCTGTTTCTAATATTTTTCTCTCTCAAGCAGGGTAGCAGTGAATATCCTTGTGTATGACTTTTTGGGACAGGGACACAAAGCTTTTTTTCCCCTTTAATACATACATTATATCAAAGACATCATCACCCTATTTTATTACTTTTACCCTCTAATGGGTGCTTGTTCTCCCCATTTTGCTCTACAGACCTCAACTTAGTCCTGGCTCCTCTAGTTTTTAAATGGTTCTTTTCTTTCAACCTTCCTTGGTTGTGTGGCTTGTGACCCACTGGACACTTCCCACTCCTACCCAATTCTAGGAGTCTTTTCTTTTGACCCAGGGAAGTCTATTTGGGGGAAGAGGGTATGAGGATGGGACTCTGCATGGGAACCTCCTAGTCACTGGAGTTTGTGGTCCTTCCATAGGCAGTGGTTCTGACATCTTGGTGAATGACTGCCGCAGCCAGGAGCAGATGAGTGATTGCTCATATACTCATTCTTCTCCTGTGTCTGGCTTCTGGATATACTCTCAATGCTGCTTCTTGGACTTCTGCAACGACCCTAAAAATAAAGTACTCTAACATTCATTAGAAGGACTACCAAGAACCTTGGAGAAAACTGCCAGTTTCCTGCCACCCTTCTGATTTCTACCTGGGTTCAGCCAGGGAAACTTACAATTTCTTATACTACCCCTCCCTGCCTTCCTCAAGTCACTACCCCAGACTGGACTTTCCTCCTCTTGGTTAATTCTCCCCTACTCCCACTCTGCCTCCCAGGTTCCCTCTCTTGCCCCAAGTCCCCAGGTGTTCCTTAGAAATAAATGTTTGGGCAAAGTGTTTGGTTTGTCTATCATCTGGTCAAGGTAGAACTCCCTAAATGTCCCATTTTGAGGACAGGAAAGAAGCATCCAACTTTGCTCCTGCCCCACTTCAGTATCTCTGATTCAGCTCTAGGCATAAAAGGGCAAAAAGGAATGGAAGCCCTCCTATGAAGGCTAGATTAGTGGGCATCCTGAGAAGTTCTGTTCAACTAGAGAAGTGTGGGACTTGAGGGGAGGTTCAGAGGACTATGATGGCAAAAAGGGTGGCTGCAAAAGGCCAGGTCTACGTAGGAGGGGGTGGATGAGAAGGGCACATTAGGCCCAGTGGACCCCTGGTCTCCGATTTCCAGGCTCAGTGTCCCTCTTCAAGGATCAGCAAATTTCCCAAGGGTCTTGGGTTCCTCAGCCTGAGGCTGTCTTCCAATTTGGCCTGCTAGAGCTGCATAAACCTGGGCTTATCTCTGTCTTGTACTGAAGTTAGAGGTTCTGGGGGACAGGAAGCTCAGCTAGGAGTGGGGGCACAGAGGGTTTGTTTTTGTACCTCCAACTGCCTCATGATCTAAAACTTAACAATGGTGTCTTTGCCCCAGTACAGACCATCAACAGGTAGATTTGCTGATCTGCAATATGCTGAATAGGAAAGAGTATGTAGTGCCATTTCCATCAAGCAGAGAGACAAAACTTACCCAAGGTGCTTTAAGGCTACCTCTGAGGGTTAGTAGTGCTTGGGAAGGGACATAAAGGCAGTATTGGGTCTGGTAAAGGTCTTAAAGCTGACTTGACAGATGGTTATACAGATGCATAGGTGACAAAAACCCATCTTAGGTTATGCACAAGCTTCTGTATGCTTTGCCAGAAAGGTTTTAAAAAGTAAGATTAAGCCAGGTGTGGTGGTGCATGTCTGTAATCCCAGCAATTTTGGAAGCTGAGCCAAGTGATTACAAGTTCAAAGCCAGCCTCAGCAATTTAGCAAGACGCTAAGCAACTCAGTGAGACCCCGTCTCTAAATAAAATACAAAATAGGGCTGGGGATGTGGCTTAGTGGTCGAGTTCCTCTGAATTTAATCCTGGAACCCACCCTTCCAAAAAAAAGTAAGATCAAAAATTGTATGTGCGGGCTGGGGATGTGGCTCAAGAGGTAGCGCGCTCCCCTGGCATGCGTGTGGCCTGGGTTCGATCCTCAGCACCACATACCAACAAAGATGTTGTGTCCGCCGAGAACTAAAAAATAAATATTAAAAATTCTCTCTCTCTCTCTGTCCTCTCTCAAAAAAAATTGTATGTGCATTGTCTCTAAAGTGCATTATATACTTAAAAAAAAATTTTTTTTTTTCCCTCTTTAGCACTGGGGGTTGACCCTTACCAAACTGCTGAGTCTTGTTAATTTGCTGAGGCTGGCCTCAAACTTGCAATCCTCCTGACTCAGCTTCCCAAATTTCTGGGATTAGGTATACAACAAGGTATCTGACTTATAAAGCACTTATATACAATTTGTATGTGTGCATATTTACGTGTCCTTCAACCATGAGGCATAAAAAGGCATTCTTCCTTGACAGGTAACCAAAATGAGACTGGGAGAGACTGACTTACCCAAGTGGCAGAGGAGCTCAGATTAGGCCTCCCAGCCACAAAGCTGTACTGCTTTCAGAATTTTCATAACCCCCAAGTTTGGGAAAGGCAGATACTTGGCTATACTTTTTTTTTTGGTGGTGGTGCTGGGGATTGAACCCAGGGCCTTGTGCATGCAAGCAAGCACTCTACCAACTGAGCTATATTCCCAGCCCCCTGACTATACTTTTGTGGGACTCCTGGTGCTTAACAAGTCTGGCTCAGGGCAGTGACGGGTGTTTGTTGAATATGTGAAGGCTGACTTTTGAGTATCCACTGTTGCTTTCTGTATGCTTGCAATTTTTCAGAAACAAAATATTAAAGATCCAACTACTGCATTCCCACCAGTACACACTCTGCACATCCCCCTCCATCTGAATCCCCATACAGGGGATCTTGGGTATTAATACACTTGAAAACTAAGTAAAGGAAGAAGTCCAGGTCCCTTAGCATCAAGTGATTCTGAGATGTAGATCCTGAATCTTCCTGGTTTGAAGTTTTTTCCTAGATTTTGCAGAATATGTTAAGGTTGAGGAGAGTCAGGATCCTCATGCTTTGATCTTTGAGCATCGGGTAGGGAAGGATGTGGGCCCTTTGGGGGAGGGCCAAGAGGCCACAAAGAGTGGGTGGGACTCTGAAATCCTGTTTGAATGTCAAACTTATTAACTTTCTTTATCCTATTTACACCTGCCCACAATTAAACCTGACATCACAAACAACATGACACAGATTTAGTAGCCCAGTCTGTTTATTGTGGAGGGAAATGGGGGATGTAGAGCAGAGTAGGACAGACCCTCTCTTTCCTTTCACCAGGCACTAATGGACATGGGTATCAGTACTCAGTGAGGAGAAATGGGGCTGAGGAGGAGAAATACTGTGAAAAGAAAAGACACAGGCAGCAGGAAAGTAGGATGGAAGAGGAGATGGAAGAGGCAATGAGGCAGAAACATCAGATTGCTATGTCAGGAAATCTTCACAGCAATCTACCCTTAGTCCTTTCTTCTGCTAGTTCAGTCTGGCACCAACTCTTAGAGACAGGCAAAAGAAAGGGGATATAGTGCCAGATCTGAGTAGATGTGGCAGGTGACCAGACTGAGAAGAGGGGAAGATGGTGAAACACTCAGATGATGGGAACCTCTGTGCCTTTTTCAGGTCAGACTGGGAAGAATTCACATTTGAGATTCTTTATTAGTAATGGAGGAAAAAAGAGCAGCACCAGGGTTCCTGGGAGGAAATTAAATGAAAACCATATAGACACTGGAGGTCCAAAGGAGGGAGGCCTAAGAGATCACAGGGGTCAGAGGATGTGATATTCTCAGAGGGTACTGCAAGATGCTGGAGGTGTTGAGGAAAGGCTCTGGAACAGAGTGGAATTTTGAAAGGGAAAGATGTCAGGGTCCAGCCTGGGGAAGAACCAGAACTCTTGAACTGTTGAGGAACAAGTACATGTGGCGTAGGTCAGCAATGGACAAGCCCAGCTCCAGGGGCAGAGTGAACAGGGTCTCCTGGCCTTTAGGCTCCTTCCCAGCATCAAAGCTAGGCAGGGGCAATGAGAGGTTCAGGGCCTGGTAGAACTGGTGGATCTGGGGGTTGGACAGGGGCCGGATTATGGGTCTTTTGCGGGACTCAGGCAGGGAGCTCTGGAGTTGGGGGCTGAACCAGGCGTTGCAGTAATCATACTGGCAGCACTGGGCCTCATACCAGTACCCTGCCAAGTAGGTGCTGTGTTTTTCTTGGCAGCGGTAAGAATTGTACTGTCCACAGCCTCGGATGATGAAGCGAACCTTGTTATCTAAAGGAGATGGGACAGCCATAATCTCCAATAATAGCTTCACACAGTCCCCAAACTTGGTTCCCCTGCCGTTGATTCCCCAAACCTCACCCAGACCCGATTTCTATTCTGGGCACCTTCAGATGAGGCCACAAGAACCCCTGCCCCTCCTTCCAAGATGCTCTGTAGGAAGAAACCAAGCCATAGCTGTCCCACCAGCAGCCCCTTCCTGGGACTTTACTCACTAATATAGATGGTGATCACCATGCATGGGGATAAGCTGCTGATAGTACACTTCTCGGAGCCCGAAATGCATCCTACAGAAGGATCTTCTAAGAGGCACAAGTGGCAGGTCCGGACCTGGGGGACAGGACCTGGGGATGCCAAAGAAGGAAGGATGGGAGCAGAGGCTAGGATGGCAAACATTCAGAGCCCCAGTTCTACCCCTTTTCTAGACGATTTTCCCCTTCTTCCCTGCCCCTGGGCCTCACTTACCCTTTCCCACTGTGAAGGCCACCATGATAAGCACATCTACAAGCATATAGGCCTTCATTATTGAATTCGGGAGAGAGGGGTGGTTCTTGAAGGATGCCTAAAACCCTAGGAAAGAGTTTGATCCTGAACAGCAGGATGGTTTTGACAGGCAGTCTGAGGAATTTGCTGTGAGTGTGGAGCTATATTCCTGCCTGGGGCAGGATTCTGGCTGGGGGAGGAAATTATTAACTTGGCAGGAGGGACAGCATGTCCTAAACCATAAAGTCTGGTTCCTGAGAGTGGGAGCAGTGGCCCAGACAGGGTAATATGTGGTTACCACACAGATCTTTGTTTAGTTGTCTATCTTTATCCTACACGTCCCCCTTCTCTCAAGGGCCCATAGATTGATTAGTGTCAGTCTTTGGCACTTTCTGTAGTCTTTCCCATACAATAGGGTTAGTTCCCATTGTGCTGGGACATTGCCCAGGCCTAAGAATCCCCATCCTTCTTTTTTTTTTCTTTAAAGAGAGAGTGAGAGAGGAGAGAGAGAGATAGAGAGAATTTTTAATATTTATTTTTTAGTTCTCGGCGGACACAACATCTTTGTTGGTATGTGGTGCTGAGGATCGAACCCGGGCCGCACGCATGCCAGGCGAGCGCGCTACCGCTTGAGCCACATCCCCAGCCCAGAATCCCCATCCTTCTGAGGAGCATATCTCACATACCCCAGACGGGCAACATGGATTACCACAGGATCTCTTCCCTCCTCTCCACCCCTTACAGTTCTGTTTATTTTAGGACTACATTCCCTTAAAACCGAAACTAAAAAAATAATATTGCTGGTTAAGCCCCTTATAAACAAATACCCATGGTGCTCAAAGAAAACAAAAATATTATCCTTGTCCTTAAAACCTGATTGTTTCTTTTCTTTTCCTTTTGACATTTTATTTCCCCCACTTTGCTCTACAATAAAAATATAAAACCAAATCCATGCAGCACAGATGTGTGCTGGTTTACAACCTAGGAGGGTGGGCTGAGCCATGGCTCCTTGGGTCCAACACACCACCACCATCCCTTTCCCAACCACAAGCACCAGTAGACTAACTCATGGCCTTTTCTTCCACTTTATTTCATATTCCCACCACAATAATGACTCCTTTAATTTAAACTAAAAACCAGAGGGTTCTTGAAAGGGTGGCAGCAAAGGAATGGAAGTGTCAAAGACTGAGTGAGGGACACACGGGGTGGGGAATCAGCGAATAGTCTTGACTGGGCTCTTGAAGTTGCTGGCGGCTTGGAGTTGCAGCTGATAAGCCATCGGATGGATCTTGAAACCGTAGAGCCTGGCCAGGGCAGAGGTCAGAGAGGCAGCAGGGTGAGCCCAATCTTGGCCCTGCTTGCATTCCCACCTCCCTACCCCAGCTGAGCCTGCTCAATGCTTGAGAAGCTTCTGTGTTTATGAATATTTGGGAATGTATCTTAAACATCCATTAAAGCTGTAATCCCAGTGGCCTGGGAGGCTGAAACAGGAGGATTGAGAATTCAAAGCCAGCCTCAGCAATGGTGAGGTGCTAAGCAACTCAGTGAGACCCTGTCTCTAAATAAAATACAAAATTGGACTGGGGATGTGGCTCAGTGGTTGAGTGCCCCTGAGTTCAATCCTTGGTATAATAAATAAATAAATAATTAATTAAATAAAAAATAAAAAATTCATTAAAACTTAAATTCCAGACCAGGTGTGATGGTGATCCCTACAGTTCCAGCTACTGAGGAATTTTGAGACCAGCATAAGAAAGACTGAAAACAAAACAAGCCTGGTATCATGACACACTTTTATAATCTCAGCTACCAAGACGCTGAGGAGGAGAACATAAGTTTGTGAGAAAAGCCTGGGCACCTTAAAGAAATCTTACTTCAAAATTAAATTTAAAAAAGAGTTGTAGATGTAGTTTAGTGGTAGAATACTTGTCTAGCATGTCCCAAGTCCTGGGTTCAAATCCCAGTATAACATACAAAAAAATAAAACAACCAAAACAGAAAAAGAAAGCACTATCAACTAGGCACATGCTATTAGCATCCGTGTTTGATGGACAAGGAAACTGAGGCACAGATAATCAAATAACTGCCCTACAATCATTCAGCAGGAAGAAGCCTGGTTTTGGAAAAGCAGGCCTCAAGAAAGGGCTATCTGTGACCTCCCTTTTCTCAGTAAATCCTCAGCCTTTCCTTTGACCCTTGGTGATTCTGTCCCTGCTCCCCACCTGGGCACAAACTGGTTGGCAGGTCGCTTGGGCCGGTATTCTGGATGCACCATGAAGAGCATGTGAGGGAAACCGGTGCCGAAGTAGGCGCCGTCCGTGTGATGGTGCCTCGATGACTTGGGTGTGTACACATCCATGCACTTGGGACAGTAGAGCTTCACCATGGCCTCGCCTGGGATGTCTGAAAGGCCTGGGAGACAGCCAGACTCTGCAGGCCAGGTACCCCCCAACTCTGCCCAAATTCCCCATAAGACTCAGGCACCAACCTGCTGAGTCTCAGTCTTGGAGGACTGACATACAGTGCCCTCCTCTCCCTTCTTCAACACTCACCGATGGGAAGCATTGGCTGGTTCTCACAGTACACTCGGGGACAGTAGCCAAAATCCCCCTGCTGGTACTTTTCCAACTGAGGTGAATAAAATGGAAGGGAGTTGGCAGGTAAGTGTGATGAGAAGAGGCAAGCCCTTCCTCAGCCCAACCAACATCACTCTGCCCCTCCCACCTCCCACTTCTGACCAGAAGCCCCTTCTCTGGTCCAGATGGGCCCTCTGACTCCTCTGCTGCCTTTCCTCCAGTTGGGCAAGCTGCAGAACATCAGTGCCATCTGCTATTTGTTCCCTAAAGAAGAGGCAATCTATAACAACCCCCTGTCCAAGCTCTCATCTCCCTCCCTGAAAATAGTCCCCTCAGCACAACCCCCAGTAAGATTCATTCTCCAAGCCCTGGCCCTGAGCTAAATTCCTTGATTGGGATGAAGCCATTCCCGATGGTGACTTCTTGCTGAAGGAATTATTTCCCTTATTGCTTCAGAAGGAGTTAAGTGGGAGCAGAGAGGCCTCACCATCTGGGCGATGCCACGGTTGGTGAGGATGTATCGGGCGTGGATCAATCCATACAGCATCTCAGCTGCCTGCTCAATCAGGTCACTCTGGTTGGGGTTGTCTTCCAGCTCTTCATCTGCAATGTGGGCCGGCCAGATGCAACCACTTGTTTTTCAGCTTTCCTAGATACCCATCCACCCTTAGGGATCATAAGCTACTCAGCTTGTCCAGTGCCCACCTTTGAGCCCCACCCCAATCATCACCTGGCATCCAAACCAGAAAACTGGTCCTTTGAACTTTTCACCAATTCAAAGAAGCTCTGCCTTCTCTCCACACTTCTTCAGCCCCTGCTCTCTTCTCTCCCTCCCTACTCCCTTCTCAACACATAAACACAAAGAAGTCAGTCTAGACTGAAAGGTGCAAAGCAAGAGAAAGAGATCATAAATGATATCCATGAGTAAAGTGGCATTATGGAATAATGAGTTATAAATTCAGAGAGCAAGAAAACCATCGTACAATGAGGCAAGTCAGATAGGGGATCAAAATAAAGCAGGGGATTTGAGGTTAGAAGAGTAGAGAACTAAAAGGAAATTTAAAATCTCAAAAAAATAATAGGGATTGGAAGAGAAAAGAAGGCACATATGTGTGTGTGAATGCACATGCATACACACAACAACCCTGAAGAAGCCTCACCAGGCTCCAGGTCCAAGATCATGTCTAGAGCTTGTCGATAGTGAGGCACCTGCTCATTGAGTCCAGTAAGATTAAATTTGTCCTGGATATAGTCTTCATCCACCTGACAGAACACAGAAGACAGAACCTTTATAAGAATACCCAGCTCTAAACTGTATCTGTTCCCCACTCCCAACTTGGCAGAAGTACTTGAGTTATCTCCTGCCAGTTTACATCACTCTCTCAAAAAGCTTAGGCTTTTCTAAGGATAAGCAGGTATAGCATCCTCCTCCTTACACAGATATTCCTTTCAAGATCACTATTTCTTCTTCAGCCTCTCATCTCTAGGAACCCGTTTTTGTCTTCTACTTTGGTATATCTGGCTTTGTGATGATGATGGACACTGAACAACCTGGTGTCTAAAGGCTGTTTGAATCCCTTACATTAACACACAGCCATGCCCATTACAAAGATCTTAACATGAAGCATTTCAAATTTCTTAACTACCAAAGGTAGACACTACCAGTATACTATCCTAATAATAAGACAGATTAACAGATCCAAATTTATACTGCTGCAGGGTGGCAGGTCCCCAGTCAGCCTCTTCTTCACTGGTTAGTAGAGAACTACTGGTAAGACCTTTCCTTGATGGGAAGGAGTGCCCATAGACACATCTAAGTGTACAGAAACTGAAAGACATGAGGAGTTATCAATTAGGGGTTTGAAGAGAACTCACTTCACAGAAGAATTCATTGCCACGGAGCCCACAGAACCAGGAAATCCAAGACACCTCCTCTGAGCTACTCATCTTCACGTCGGCTGGAAAAAAAAGGGGAGGGGGTATGGTGTTGTTATAAGTAAGCCCAAACTCTCCCGTCTGCCTCTGGTATCCTCCCTCCTCCCACACTCCAACACGGAAAGATTTGGGGCCACCCTTTCTTAAAGGATCCCAGGCCCTGAAGCAACCCTCTCCAGCCTCTCTTACACTTCTGCCACTTTTTGGTGAGGGGGAAATTCTCTTAAGTCTCACCACTTGTGAGAAACCACAGGTACTGATCCACCTACTCTATCCACTCTCTAACTCTCCCTGACCTCTCCCCTTTGTGTCAGTTTCAGCTGGGCCCTCGGCTTGGGCTCCCTACCACCGCAGGTGTCTGCATGTCCTCCGCGTCTTTCCCAAGGGTTCTGAAGTTTATCCTTCCCAAGGGCCGGGTTCCTCCTTTCCTCACATACTGAGAACGGCCGTCATGCCCCTTTCACCGGAGTACCCAGATAACACCTCCGGCCCTCAGCTCATTCTCCCTTCCTTCCTTTGGTGATGGACCGGGTCACTTCCTTCCTCGCCCCCACATCAAGGCGCAAAGACCCCATGTGCCGCGCCCAGGGACAGGGGACAGGCACGGCGACGACCTTAGACTCACCCTCTGGACGGGGAACGGGACCGGGGCGGGGGAGGGGATTACGGCTTCTAAGGAACGGCGGCTACCGCTACAGCGCAGGCCGCAGACCCGACCGCGGCAGGCTAAGTTGGGGGGGTAGTGGGGGGGGGAGAGTGGAAACTGGAGAGGGTGGGGAAGAGGGAAATGCGCAAGCGCCAAGGGTCGGGCGGCTCGGTGGACGCCGGGAAATGGAGTCCCCAGTATGGAGAAAAACTATCGATTTGAGTAGAAGCGAACTACGAATCCCAGGAGAACCTGCGCACGACCCTGGTGTCGCGAGGCCCCCGAGAAAGACGTCTGGGGGGCGGGGCTCAGCGAGGCACCACCGGAAGCGGAAGCCAAGTACGGCGTTCGGGGCCAGCGAGCCTGGGAAATACAGTCGTGCGCGCACTGGACTGAGGGGTCGAGAAGGGGCGGGGACTGGGGCAAGCTGACTGATCCCTCCCCGCCTCTCTCACACCTTTCCCCTCAGGTCCCAGCTCGGCGCTATAGCCCTGCGGATGGACTCCATTCTAGGTCTATCCACTGGGCCCCTATTGCCAGTCAGGTTCTTCCTCCGAGTCGGACCCGCCACTAGATCCCCTGACGGACCCATGTTTCACCCGGGATTTGGCGTAAGGCCGGGAGGTGTGACCGGCTCCATTCTGAGGGACTTGGATCGGGTGTGCTTAGGCTGAGCTGAGTGAGTGGTGTGAGAACCGGGACGGCCCAGTGCGCTAACCTGAGGTGGCGCCAGCCATTCTGCTGTTCGTCCCTTTGGACTTCTCCATTTCCTCTTAGGGCTTGAATGGAGCGTTCTGCTGCGGGCTCTTAAGTGTGTTCTTCGAACCCTGGTCAGAGTAATGGTGAGGGGCAACGTGACGTTATTTCATTTCACAGCTTCTCGGCATTCCAGGTTTCCTTCTGGCTCCTCAGGGCCTTTCTTAAACCGGAGAATGGTTTCCCAGCTCCAGGAAATGAACTTGTAGGTGGGGGCCACATCGAGGGCCGCGAAGGGCATTGTGGGGGCGTTATGTAAAAGTAGGACCCCAACCGACAGAACTCCGGGGTCCTCGCGCTAGTTAGGCACGCGATGCTTGACGCGTATACTCGAAAAGGTTCCAGCGCGGGAAACCACCTTTTGGGTGTTTTGTTGTTGGTGTCGTCACGCATGCGTCTTCATGCCGTGTGGCTGTGTCAACTCTTTAGATTAGAATAGCGCCATTTTACTGTACGGAACCTACAAAGCAACGCAGGCAGGAGCCTTTCCCATTTTCTGGAGATACTGCAGAAAAATATCACATCTGTTTTTGTTTGGAAACAGGAGATCTCGAAATAGGATCGAGCAAGAATTAAAGGGCCGGTTTGAGTTTCCTTAGTGGTATGTATTAGAGATTTTTTTTTTCTTCTCAGTGCTGATATTGAATCCAGGGTTTTATATTTGCAAGAGCTCTGCCATCTATGTAGATCCACACGTCTAATTTCTCATGGAGTTTTAGTAATCTTTACTAAGGGGCCGGGTCTATTATTCTAGGGGTCACTGTTTTTACATGTGACCCAGGACCTTAAGCCTTGAAGGGCTTTAGGTTGTGGAGTCAAGTTTTGGGGCAGTAGGGCGTTGTTCATCCAAGGCCATCCTTTCTCCCAGCAGATCCCTGGAGGTGGTACTGGTCACTACAGAGGCCATTGGGTTAGGTTGCTTGTTTATCCTTCTTTTGTCTACATTTTCCCAAAAGCCATGTCCAGGCCTTCCCTCATCACATTCACCCCAGCCACAGACCCCAGTGACCTATGGAAGGATGGGCAACAGCAGTCAGAGCCTGAAAAGCCAGAGCCCACCCTGGATGGGGCTGCAACACGGGCTTTCTATGAGGCACTGATTGCAGATGAGAACAGTACACCTGAACCCCAGAGATTTCGGCCTGATCCTGTTAGGGAGAAAAAAAGGAAGAAAAGAAGAATGACAAGGGAGGCTGCAGCAGAAGCAGTGGCAGTAGGAATATCAGGAAGACATGGACAAGGCAGATCCTTTGAAGCTGAGGACAAAATGACCCAGTGGATATTGAAGGCTGCCCAAGAGGGGGACCTGGCAGAACTTCGAAGGCTGTTGGAGCCCTGTGAGGCAGGGGGAGCTGGAGGGAATATCAACGCTAGAGATGCCTTCTGGTGGACACCTCTGATGTGTGCTGCTCGAGCTGGCCAGAGTGCTGCTGTGCATTATCTTCTGGGCCGAGGGGCAGCCTGGGTGGGGGTCTGTGAGCTGGGTGGCAAGGATGCTGCTCAGCTGGCTGAAGAAGCAGGCTTTGCCAAGGTGGCCCGCATGATCAGGGAGAGCCATGGAGAGACACGGAGCCCAGAGAACCGGTGAGGGGGAACCTTATCCCATACTCTTCTTTCAATGTGTTCTGCCTTTCCTGGCCACCCCATACCAGAGGCCCTAGAACAGCTTAAGGAGTGTCCCTATTCTCCAGGGTAGGTTGATAAAATAATATACTCAAGTGGATATGGACATATACTCCCTAAGTTTAAATTCTAACACCACTTATTTGGAAGAAAATGACTACATATGTTTTCCCATCTGAGAAATGGGGGTTAAAGAGCACCTTTTTCATGGGATTGTTTTTAGGATTCAGTGAGTTAAATATATAAGTGCTAGAATAGTACTTGCCATGAAATCTGCACTATAAAAATAATAGCTATAGTCATTATCATTCCCTTTCCCAAGATCTTGTGAGGCTTGGTTGCCAACTTTTCTTCCCAATATTGCCATCTGGGTCCCTCTTGCTAGGTGGGGAGGGGCTTGGGTATAGCTTAGTGGTGGAGCACTTGCCTAGCATGCATGAAGCCCTGGCTTTTAATCCCATCATTCAAAGCAAAACAAAGTGATGATGCTAAGTGGAAAGGAAGGCAATGTGTTCCTTAGCAGAAAAGCTGGAGGGATTCTGCCCCACACTGCCATCCCCCTAAGGCCTCAATTCTTCGACTTTGATTCCTCTGTTCTTTCTCTGTAGGTCTCCTTCGCCCTCCTCTCGGTACTGCGAGACCTGTGATGCCCATTTTGAAGACTCCAACCACTGCACATCCACTGCTCATCTGCTGTCACTGTCCAGGGGTTCCCAGCCCCCTAGCCTTCCCTTTGGGGTGCCCACCTCCAGCCCTGGTTTCAAGCTGCTGCTGAGGGGAGGCTGGGAACCAGGAATGGGGCTGGGACCCCGGGGTGAAGGCCGTGCCAACCCCATACCTACTGTCCTCAAGAGGGACCAAGAAGGTCTAGGTTACAGATCAGCACCCCAGCCCCGAGTCACACATTTCCCAGCTCGGGATACCCGGGCTGTGTCTGGGAGAGAGAGAGCTCCTCGAGTGGCCACACTTAGCCAGAGGGAGAACAGAAAGCAAGAGGAGAAGGACAAGGCCTGGGAGCGGGATCTGAGGATATACATGAACCTTGATTTCTGACATAGGTGAAATCTGATGTTGGTCTGCTTTGAATTCTGAACTTGGATCTCTGACTTGGGCCCTTCGACTTATGTTTTCTGGGATCTGCCCAGGTGCCAGATCTTCAGGTTTTGGTTGTTGGACATTGATTTGGGGAGGAAGGGCTGAGAATTGAGAAATAAACATCTTGTATTGTGGTTTATTTACTTTTTTGGAATCTGTTGAGGAAGCCAAACAGAAATCTGGGGACTACATATAAGTCCCACCTGAGCCAAAAGAGGCAGCCTCCCCAGGTGACTGCCAGTCTGGGTTCATTTCCAGATCCTAGCACCTGCTGGATAGGTGCCCCACCTATTCTTTCAAACTTTCCTGAACTCTGGAATTGCCATAATTCTCACCTCCCCTAAGAAGGGTCCCCTGACTATTCCAGCCAATTCAGTCACTGATCTTAAACATAGTCATATACTATGTACTAAGACTACTAGTGAAAGACTTTCCCAACCCTGCAGGAGGGAAGTGTAGTCATTTTATTACATTATAATGGGTGGTGATAGGGTAAGTCAAGGAAAGCCCTTGCTCTCAAGAGCTCTTTGATACAAGGTGTAATTATCCACCTTTAATGCAGTTGGAGCTGGGACCAAACCGGCCTCCCAAATCTAAATTTGTCACAGTTCATTTCACAACCTGAAAGCTCCTGAGGGCAGGGAATAATTTGTTTTCCCACAATTTGCCACTTTAGCACCCCCTCACTCCATTGTGCTCATACCAGGTGCTAGGCACATGAAGAGTTAATAGATCCCTGCATGGAGGGGCAAAGAAGGGCTGCTACAGTCTCAATGTCCCCCTCATCATTTTTCCCTCCGGAAAAGCGAGAGAAGTGGAGAGTGTGCTGGAGTTGGGAGGACGGATACACAAGAACCCAAGGGCAGTGGGTAGGCGAGTCTAGAGAAGCAGCGGGGCGTAGTGCCTCTGGGAGGTGAAAACAGAACTGGGTTTGTATTCTGATTCTGGCCCTCGCGGATACGCGCTGCCGCCTGCCGAACCGAGCTCAAAGAAAGCGCGGGGGGTAGCGGGGAGGTCGATCCTCAGGGTCCGCCCCGCGATCTGTGGGCTCCGCCCCCGCCAGTCCCTCCCGTCCCGGTGCAGCTGCTTCCGGGCTCCGCGACTACGGGCGGTCCGCGAGGCCCGGGCTCCGACGCTGGGCCCAGGAGCGGTCCCAGTGCACAGCGCCTGGACGCCTGGGTCCCCACGTAGGCCCGCGCTGTGCCTCCCGACTGGGATCTCCGAGGATCTCCGTCCTGACCTTGCGGAGGCCGCGTCTCTGTTGCGTCCTCGCCGGCCGGTGGGGCCACTTTGTAGGAATCATAGCCTCCTTAATCGGGACGGACGCTACTGGCTGGAGTTTGCTGGACATCTTCCACCTACTTCCCAACAGAGACTTCCTATTCCTTGAGCTCCCTTGGGGCAACATATTAAGACTTTTCAGATCCAGGAGGACCTAAGAACCCTGGGCCACCTTTCTTCCTTCCTTCTTTGATGGAGCACCGCCTCCCCAGTTTCTGGGGCACCTTGTGGCGTGGCCTTGGTGAGTGAAACTTGGGGTGCTGCCTGCTGGGAAGGAAATCTGGAAACACGGACACTGTAGGGGTGACCCCGTCTTGTCAGACCCTGAGACTCTTGAAATCTCATAGGGGATTGTGGTGGTGAAAGAATTCGAGTGTGCCTCCCTTCTTTACCCCAAAACGGAAAACAAAACAAACCACTTGCCATTCTTGAGGCTGCATGACCATTCAGGGGAGCGGGGAGCCCCTTCTGAATTCAGAATAGGACGGCATCAACAAGCAGATAACCTGTTCTGAACCTGAATAGATTCTGCCTTCTGAGGAGACCTTGAGAGTGTAAGAAGTGCCAGGAAGTAGCCCCAGATTTGGGGAGTTCATTACACACCCCAACCATGTTCCTGCGACGGCTTGGTGGCTGGCTACCTCGCCCTTGGGGCCGCCGGAAACCCATGAGGCCTGACCCACCTACCCCAGAACCCAAATGGGTGGACAGCTCCCCTGAGAATTCAGGGAGTGATTGGGACAGTGCCCCAGAAACCATGGGAGATGTGGGGCCTCCCAAGACCAAGGACTCAGGGACACTGAGGAGTTTCCGGGCTGCTCCAGAACCAAGCAGGGAGCCCCAAGTTGAGCAACTGGGGAGCAAAAGAATGGATTCCCTCAAGTGGGACAAGACTATCTCTAGCACTCAAGAGTCTGGGAGACTGGAGGATGGAGGGGCCATTCCAAAACTAGAATGGGATCCTGTGGATTCAGGTGGCACCAGGAGTCCTGGGGTGTCTCTTGAAGGGGGACTGGGCGCCCCTGGGCCAGAAGTCCCAGTGGAGAAAACTGGCCAGCATCAGAAGCTGCTGGGCTGGCTGCGGGGGGAACCAGGGGCACCCCCACGGTACCTGGGGGGCCCAGAGGAGTGTCTGCAGATCTCCACCAACCTGACCCTACACCTGTTAGAGCTGCTGGCCTCAGCCCTGCTGGCGCTGTGCTCTCGGCCATTGCGGGCAGTCTTGGATGCATTGGGTCTTCGAGGACCAGTGGGCCTCTGGATTCACGGGCTACTGTCTTTCCTTGCTGCTCTGCATGGGCTCCATGCTGTGCTGAGCCTACTTACTGCCCACCCTCTACACTTTGCCTGCCTCTTTGGCCTCCTGCAGGCGCTGGTGTTGGCTGTCAGCCTCCGGGAGCCTGGTGGGGATGAGGAGGCCACTGACTGGGAGGGTGAGGGTTTCCTGAGGGAGGGTGAAGAACAGAGGGGAGATCAAGGAAAGGGACTGTGACTATGGGGTGGGGTGGGGGCAAAAGGCGAAGATAGTGTGGCCTTTAGTAAAAGACTGGGGAGCATGACTCTGATTGTAAGCATAGGGACCTCAGGGATCAGAAAGAAACCCGAGAGTGAGGCACAGGGCCCCCCTTCATACACAGGAGAGAACAGAGCTGTTTAGCTGAGAGAACAGACATATTTATGGATGGTGGGCATTACCCTAGGATTCACCAGCTGTTGTTACTTTCTGCTTTTACATTTATCCTTTTACATTTTTTCTTTCCACCTCCATTAAAAAAAAAAAAAGTGATAGTGGAGAATAAATACCAATGGGTCTTTCCTCCCTTTCCAAATTTGCCAGGGGTGGAGGAGACCAAAAAGGCACAATAGAGATCTCTTCACTAAGAGGGTGGCTGAGAGACCCAAGATGTCCCGGGAGCCTGGAACCTGAGCCATCTAGGAAGGAATGGGGCTGCTATGTTGGTGGATTAGGAGCCTGGAGAGGGCCCACAGGTGACAAAGGCTGCAGGAAGATCTGGTGCTCATGAGTCAGAGGAAGCAGGGATGTATAGGCAGTTATTGGCAGGAGTACCACAGCTCAGAAGGGACTCGCAGCTCAGACAGGGGAGCACTGAAGTTTGTAGTTCCCACTAAGAGACTAGGGGCTTGTTCACTCAGCAATAAATAACTGTGTAATACTAAATCCTAAATACACCACTACAATGTGAGAGGTACTGTCACTCAGTGTCTTTCCTGACGCCGTCCAATTTGGGGGGTTAGGTGGTAGAGGGTCTAGAGGAGTGTTGCATTAGGGGGAGTAACATTGATGTCTGGAGATAAACCCCAGGATGTGATGTGGATTGAAAAATCATCTTTATTTTCCTTGAAAGAGAATCAGGAGTCTTCAGCTTCTCTTTCCCCCAACAACAGCTCCCGCTATATTGTTCTGGGGGCACAGATGAAGTTACAGGTCAGTTACTGGACAGTTTGCAGGCCTCTGTGATGGGAGGAAGGAAAAGAAGATAGAAAGGCAGTCAGGGAGAGAACAAGGTTGGTGGTTTTGGGGTTGGGGGAGAATGTGTGCCTTTATTCCCCCATGTCAAAGGACTCTTAAAGGCCTTTTCTCCTGTATGTCTGAATCTCTGCCCCCTTTATCCACTATAGACTTAAACCTGTTTTTTGAATAGCCCAGAACCCATCCTGGTTCCCTTAGACAACATGACAGCTCTTAGTCATATCCCTGTGATGCCATCATAGCTTATGAGAAGTACAAGTGACCTCACAGCCACTCAGGTGATGTCTGCCTTTGGCCATGCCCTCTGGTAACATCACATGAGCCTCTCATCTAGCACTTGCAGAAGACCTGGTGAGTCCAGTCCTCTTCTGGAAGACTTTAACCCCTTACCTTGATTCCTGGGAGTTAGTAAAAAGGCTCTGGAGTCCAGGCAGGAGGTCAGGGTCTGGAATTCTTCCACACACTTCTCAGGAGGGTGTGGTGAGCGATCTGAAAGGGCAGGGTGCAGCCAGGCCAGTCAGAGACCCTCCTTCTCACCCCCAGGACCTCACAGAAATTCTCAGCCCATTTTGAAAGGATGTCTAAGGGCCCAAACTGAGGAGCCCTTCTGCCCTCCCTTGTTTCACTGACACTTCCTGCCTCGCATTTCCACTCACTGTAGAGGAGAAAGCGCTGGTAACCCTGGCCTGTCTCTTTCAGCATAATTCCACCTGGGCATGAGCTGGAAAAGAGCTCAGTCTTCATGTCAGGACGGCCTGTCAGGGCAGAGTGGGGGATGGGTGAGAACAGAAATGCAAAACCAAGCTTAGGGAGGCTGGGGTGGTTGAGAGCTGGTGGGAACCAACCTTCAGTTCTGAGGTCTGTGCTCCCTTCTGTCAAGTGATAAATCCATTCACGGGGTACACAGAATCCATTTTTCCTGCAGAGGTGATGATAGTAAGAAGAAAAGACAGAGTGTTACCCCAACCACACAGTACCACCATGGTTTTTTGTTTTTTTGTGGTGTCAGGGATTGAACCCAGGGCCTTGTGCAAGCACTCTACCAAATGAGCTACATCCCCAACCCCAGCAAGTTTTTATTCCATCTTGTTCTTTGCTGATGCCTGACTCCCTTTGGGTTTCAAGCTACCAAGAGATGGTTAAGTCCATTCTTTCTCCAGAGAGCAACTGGTAAAGCTATTGAATTCACTGGGCCAAGAGTCATGGATATACCCAGCAAGAGCCCAGTGGGTGGCTGCTCACACTTTGGGCAGAGAGTGCAACTATTGATGCCTCTGCCTTCTCACTACTCACATGCGGATGGTAGCACGAAGCTGGAGCTGCAGTGGGGCAGAACCAGAAGCCATGTTGAAGATAATGTTGTCCACAGAGTCAAAAGTCGCCAACTCCTCCTTGGTGGGAGCTGCCCCTGCGATAAAGTACCACTGGCCCAGGTGGGGCTCTGGGAACTGGAGAGACAATAAGGGGAATAAAAGAGGGTAGATTGGGGGGTCCATCTCAGAATTCATTCAACTGCTTCATCGGTCAGCACAGCAAGATTTGGGGTGAAGGTGTTGGTTGTCTTCCTCTTTCCAACTGGGGGCTAAGTTCATGACAAGGAATCATGAAATAACTTCCTCTTTGATCCTCTGCAATCAACCTGGGTAACCACTCTACCCCACCCTCCAATTCTTTCATATCTCCACAGTGATGGCTACAGCATTGATATTTTTCTTCCTGTTTTCATCATCAAAACACTCATGTTTCTTCCTCCCGTTTCAAACATAGCTTCTGGTTATCCTAGGCTACCCACCCAAGACTCTTAAGGCTTCCACCATAGGCTTCCCCCATTCTCAGTCCATACCTCTTTCTCATCCACTCCCAGAGTTGTCAGTTGACTATGTTCAGGGCACTGATAGATGGAGTTAAGGAGAATGCCATAGAGGTAGAGTAGAGCTGCCCAAATTTGATTGAACATCTTCAGGTGGGAAGGAGCTGGTGGTCTGCGTGGGGTAACTGGTGCTTTAACTGCTCTCTTCACTGAGGGCTGCTCAGTCCACTCGCTTCCAGCCCCCATGCCTCGACCCTTGACCCCTTCACCTGCTAATGAATAACTTCAACCTTGTTTTCCAACCCAAACCTGGATTATCTACAGTGTGTGGGGCCTTCCTCCCCCTCTTCTGGATGCAACCATTGTAGGATCTCTCAATTTTGAGGAGAGCTAGAAGCCTGTGGTCTTTCACCCCATATCTTGGTGGGAGATCTTTTTGTGTTGTGCTGCATCAAAGAGAAGTGGCTTGACTGGGTCCTAATTTTATTAATCTCTATGTCTTGTTTTTTCATCTGTAAAATGTGCAAATCTTCACTTAGGAAACTTTTGAGTCCTAGCTGTTTGCCAGGAACTGGCTAATCCCTATGGATATAAAAACAAATAAGACACAATCCCTGGCCTTGAAGAAGCCAGGGATATAGGAAAAACTAGTTGTGTAAACAACCATTGACAATCTTAAGTGCTTTGAACAGGTATGAACTGGTTGCTGGGACATGGAGGGTTTTCTCTTAAGTTTATAATTGTAGAAATAGTTTGTACATACCCCAGAAAAGCTTGCTGACACATAAGTGAGTTAATTCACTCAATGTTTATTACTACAAAAGACCACATATTCTAATGATTAAAGAAAATGGCATTGCTGTCTGATTGGGTCCAAACCCTAACTCAGATCTGGGACAATTTTATTAATCTCTCTGTCTTGTTTTTTCATCTGTAAAATGTGCAAATCTTCAGTTTTAGAGAATTAAATAGGAAGGTACATAAAGCCCTTTACAATGACCTGCACATAGTAAATCTAAAGAAGCATTTTCTGTAATTGATAATGTTTATAAAGAACTTATACTTTCTGAATTCTCTAATAATAAGAATTCTCAAGAGGCAATGGATAGGGCCAAGTGAGTTAAGCAGTTAATGTGATGAGTTGTGGGGCTTAATTAAAACTCATGGGCTGCCACAAAAAGATTTGCACTGAGAGGTGAGACTGGCTATGGGCTTGTGATTTAGTTAAAAGAAAACATAATCTGGGCAATGGGTGTCTAAAGAGTTAATTATACTGTTGGGGGTAATGTTTACAAATTTTATTTTTGCAGGACTGGGGGTGAACCCAGGACCTTGCTTGTTATGCTAGTCAAGTGCTGAACCACTAACCTACACCCCAGCCCTTGAAAAATTTTTTGTTTTGGAGACATGGTCTGACTTTGTTGCCTTGGCTGGTCTTGAACTGGCAAAACTCTTGGCTCAGCCTTTGGAATACCTGGGATTACAAGCCCTTGAATAAAAATTAAAAAACAAACAAACAATTGTTGTAGCAGTAAAGCAGAAGACTCAATCCCGAGTCTGGCAGGCCTGGATTTGCCAGCTCTTCTACTTAGGCTCGTGGATGTTATTATCCATCTCACATGTTGAAAACCCTGTTGCGGTGTTTCATGTGGTGCTGGGATGAACCCAGGGCTTCATACATGCTGTGAAGGAGCTCTGCTACTGAGCCCTTTTAAGGCTTAAAAACATGACAGTTTGTAACCCACTCGGTGGCTGGCACAAACGAAGTGCTCACTAAACATGCTTATTGGAACTTTCCCCCCCCCCCGGGGGGGTGGGATCTAACCCTGGAACGCTTTACCACTGAGCCGCATCCCCACCCCTTTTAAATTTTGAGACAGCCTCACTTATCTGCTGAGGCTGGCCTCGAACTCGCGATCCTCCTGTCTAAGCCTCCCGAATTGCTGGGATTACGAGGGAGCCACCACGTCCGGCTTTATGGTAACTTAACGGATATAGTACTTGCACCTGGATATAAACTACGAATTCTAGAAAGCCTAGGAATGATAAGGATTATAGAGATTGTAATCACCCAAAGCTTAGAAACCCTGTTGGTGGGCGCTTCAAGTCCCCATTTTCAGGGTCTTGTCTTTTGGTCCAGCCGGACTCCGTATGCTCCTAGTTCTCAAATTCAGTGGTGGTGTCCCTTTTCTTGAAAAGTCCTAAAAAGCAGTGGCTTGCTTAGCTTTCCTAAAACATGGCAGGTCCCCTCAGCCGCACTTAGCCAATGGCTAGCTTGACACCACAGTCCGCAACACGCCCCACCCGGTCAAAACGATCTCTACCCCACGACGCGACGAGACGCAAAGTAGCCGGCAAACGGACCCCAACCGCCTAAGGTAAAGTGACTTCCGGAGGCGCCGAGCACAGGGCCAGGTGAGGGCTGCAGTGAGAATGAGAGTTTTAGGTGGCTAGGTCAGTGCCGCTCAAAATTCTCTGCCTGTCAAAACTTTAATATAGATAAGGCATAATCCCTAATCTCCAAAATCCAAAGTTCATAAAACCATCCACAGCGTCTCTCGAAGGCGTGGAGTCGATATATTTTCTTCAGGCATTTATAATGGCCACCTCAACCTCCTAGGTCTCTAGCATGCTCATAGGCAAAGTGCAAAAGCCAGGGTGAGGCGGGTAGGGAGGTGCTTAAATGTTTACGCATGCGTAGTGCGACTCACGCAGGCGCACTACAGTTCCCCGGGCGACGGCGGCGGTGGCTACTCAGGGTGTTCGGCTCTTTCCCATCTAGGCCGGCCCCAGCCCATCTCCACCCCCGGGAGCTCACTACCTGGGGCCGCGGACTTCCTCATCGCGCCCCATAAAAGTAAACTTTGGGGACCTGGAGGAGCCGAAAGTACCGCATCGAGAGCCCCAAATACTATTGGGGAAACGGAAGTGGCTTTCGGTAGCAGACTAGGGGAAACCGGAAGTGACGGTACCGGGGGAAGTCGGGGGCGGAGCCACAGGGTGGTGGGGTGTGTATGTATATGTGTGTGGCCGCGTGTTGGTTGCGCCGCTCTGCTGGAACACCGAGGAAGGCGGAAGAGGGGGGGCAGTCAGCTAGCCGGTCCAGCCCCCCCCCCGTAAGTGTCCGCCGTCTTGGGTGTGTAGTGATTTCGGCGGGTTCGATGGGCGTGGCGCGCGTGCGCGAAGCCACTTTCTCCGCCGAGCCGGGCGCTACCCCCACCCCCACCCTCACCCCCACCCCCGCTCTCGCGTTGTCCCAGAATTTGCCGACTTCTAGGGCCTTTACCCTATCGCGACCGGTGATGACACTGGTCTCTGGTCTCGTGCTTCCTTTCCTCATTCTCAGCCCAACTGGCCCTCCTTTATTGTGATTGGCATTGTGGAGCCCCTCCCACCTCCTGTCCTTCAGCTCCCTATGCCGTCGATCTCCTGCCCTTTGTGTTTCTCTCCCTGTGCCCCGGAATCAGAAGGGGGATGGGGGCGGGTGTGAGTGTGTGTGCTTGTGTAGGAGAAACTTTTTAGGTATTGGGGCGGAGATTCAGGCCAGGGAAGCTTCCGGTATATAAAATCTACAGGCGACAGCGGACCTTCCTCCCTTCGTTCTTCCTTAGAGAGCTGTCCGCCATGGAGCCCAGTGATTCTACCAGTACCGCTATGGAGGAGCCTGACAACTTGGAGGTATTAGTGAAGACCTTGGACTCTCAGACTCGGACCTTTATTGTGGGGGCCCAGGTGAGATCCCAGTACTTCTGGAAGATACCCATTAGCTCTTCCTCTTCCTCCCTTAGACTGATGGGAGAGCCTGATTTTCTTGTCTTCAAATTTTCATTGATTCCTTTGTTTATATTCTAGATAGAACATCTTTTGATGTGTTTGTTGGGGGAGGTATGTTTATTGTTAAGTGAGGCAGATTTTATTTTGTCTTTCTTCACCTTGCTAGAATTCAGTGCAAAGTAAAATAGACCCGAAGGAGGAACCTGTGCTATCATGGGTGGACCCTAGCCCAAAGGAAGAGTTGGGGCTCCAGTTTTGGGGAAAGTAAACAATGCGGGGACCTCAAACAGTTTTTCTGATAAACAGATTGATTGCAGCTGTATACTGTACTTATGAAGTCTGGAAACCAGAACCCATAATGCAGGTGGAGCCCTAGTGGACTATTCAGTGGAATTACTAACATCTGTTGCATAAAATGACTCTTGAATTTAATACCATAGTTATGTTTTTAATTCTGTAATTCTTAGAGACAAACTCATGAGCTGGTGGGTCTATGATATTTTAAGACGTGTTTAAGAAAATCACAAAGGTTTTTCTGTGGCTAGATATTTGTAATACTTTCCAAGACTTTGTCTAGTTAGGGCAAATGTTTTTCTTTTTGGCTTCCTTCTTTTTTGCAGAGCTGGGGATTGAACCCAGGATCTTGCACATGCTGGGCAAGTGCTGAGCTACACCCCTAGCCCTTTGCTCCCTTCTTACCTTCATGGTGGGGGACCCCTGCCTGGTACTCTGGGGCTTGGGGCCTCTTCTTGGTTAGTTTTCCTTAACCTAATTCCCTACCCTATCCTCCTTGCCTTTTTTGTTTTAGACATAGCCTTGCTAAATTGCTGATGTTGGCCTTGAATTTGCAATTCTGCCTTAACCTCTCAAGCCACTGGGATTATAGGCGTGTACCACCCCATCTGGGTTTGCAGTTATTTTTGTCTTTAAGATTATGGCAGAAAAATGAACTCCTGGTATCATTTTGTATTTAGGAAGGGGCTACTGATCTCTCTAGATACACTTTCCTTTGGAAGCTAGGCAAAGGAGAGAAGGAATATTAGTTGGCTTTTTTGTTCCTCATCCAGGAGGCACTGGGTTCAATCCTCAGCACCACATAAAAATAAACAAAATAAAGTCATTCTGTTCTTTTACAACTATTAAAAGAAACATATGTGTTTGTATTATACCTGAAAGTTTGTTAAATTTATTCTGTATTTTAGTGGGTTGTCTTGGTTCAGTGTTTTGCACAATTAATATCTTACAGTCAGGACAGTTGGATAGTGATTCTATACTGGTTTTTACCCCTTAACTCCACAAATCAGTTGGCTTTTTCTCTTTTTTTCCTCCATTCTGATTCCTGTATATGATTATTCCTCCTTACAGATGAATGTAAAGGAGTTTAAGGAGCACATTGCTGCCTCTGTCAGCATCCCCTCTGAGAAACAACGGCTCATCTATCAGGGGCGAGTTCTGCAAGATGATAAGAAGCTCCAGGAATACAGTAAGAGGGTTGGAGGGCAATTCAGAGGTTTAGGTTGCTACCCAGAGGGATGAGCTTAAGGCCATGTATATACCTACTCATGCAATGTTTTGGTGTGTATCTTTTTTCCTGCAGATGTTGGGGGAAAGGTTATCCACCTGGTGGAACGGGCTCCTCCTCAGACTCAGCTCCCTTCTGGAGCATCTTCTGGGACAGGGTCTTCCTCAGCTGCCCATGGTGGGGGACCCCTGCCTGGTACTCGGGGGCCTGGGGCCTCTGTTCATGACCGGAATGCCAACAGCTATGTCATGGTTGGAACCTTCAATCTTCCTGTAAGCTTGTGTTTCACATGGAAGGGTTTTTTAGGGAGGGGTAGTTTGGGTTGTGTTAGCATCAGGGAACACATTAGATAGTTGTCTCAGTTTTGAGATTGGGTTTGGAGAGCTCTCTGATGAGATATTGGCCTTGGTCTTTGAGAAAAAGGGGTGGGGCTCCACAGAATGAGTTGAAAAGTGTGGAGGCCTTAGTATTTGGCTTCTCCCAGAGCAACTTCCCTTACCCTTTCCCCAGAGTGACGGCTCTGCTGTGGATGTTCACATCAACATGGAACAGGCCCCGATTCAGGTATTGAGGGGCCTGGGAGGGTCAGGGAAGGGGATCTGGGAGAAGGAGGCCATGAGGTGGGGTGGACCTGGCTAATGAGATGCTTGGGACCTGGATTAGTAGGCGGTGGAGCTTATGGCTTCATCTCAGACCTGTCCTGATTATTCCTTTTTTATTCTAGAGTGAGCCCCGAGTACGGCTAGTGATGGCCCAGCACATGATCAGGGATATCCAGACCTTATTATCCCGAATGGAGGTAAATGAGCAAATCTGCCTAGGTTCTCTCCACCCGCTCGTAGCCTGAGGGTGGGAGCATGATTGGCCTCATCCACAGGATTCTGTCTTCCTAATCTGGTCTCTTCTTTGCAGTCGTTCTTTTGGGCAGAAAAAAGTATCTTTGTGAGGGTATCTTGTCCCTGCCAATCCTCTGAATGCCTGGTATCGGGGGAGTTTGTTTCAGTTCTTAGATAACTTGGCATAGCATCTTTTCAGTTAAAGAATTATTCCACCCTTTCTTTTCTTTTCTTTTCTTTTTCTTTCTTTCTTTCTTGTAGCTGTAGCTAGACAAAATTCCTTTATTTTTATGTGGTACTGAGGATCAAACCCAGTGCTTCATGCATGCTAGGCAAGCGCTCTGCCACTCAGCCCCAGCCCCTGATTTTGAACCCAGGGTCTTGTGCATATGAGGCAAGCACTCTACTGAGCTGTATCCCTAGTCCCTATAATTGATTTCTTAACTGACATGTTCAGCATTGGAATGCTCTAACTTCATTAGTTTGTGTAGCAACTACAACCTGTGGTCTTTCTCTTTCCTTATAGAAGTTAGAAAATTGCAATTTTTACTATGTTAGTAATTTGTTTAAAAGTATTAGTTATTTGTCATGTATCTAATTTATGCTAGTCCTATACTGATTGTTAGGGAGTTAAAGAGAATGAATGTAAAGTCCTGTCTTTAGGGAGCCTAGTTGGAGCACTTTCTCCATTCACATTCAGTTGGCCTGAGTTATCTATTTTAGTTTCATCTTGTCTTTGGTGTCCTGACTTCCCCACTTTTCAGGGTCGAGGGGGACCCCAGGCACAGCACAGTCAGCCACCCCCACAGACGTCAGCTGTGGCTCCAGAGCCAGTATCCTTGAACTCACAAACATCAGAGTCAGTTGAAAATGAAGCACCTCCTCGGGAGCCCATGGAGGCAGAAGAAGTGGAGGAGCGTGCCCCAGCCCAGAGCCCGGAGCTTACCCCTTCTGGCCAAACTCCAACAGGCCCTACACCTGCCCCAGAGACAAACGCACCTAAGTGAGAGATGGAGGGAACCTTTTGGGGTTGTGGGTTCTAAGTGCAATATGAAGACCAGGAGAGGTATGGTGGGTGAGAGGGTCTCAATGAAGGTAAATGAGGTTAGAATTGACAGCTGAGCAGAAGCTTTTCTCTCCCCTGAGCGCATGACACATGCCTGTAATTTCAGTGACTCCAGAGGCTGTGCAAATTTGAAGCCAACCTTAACAATTTTTTGTCTCAGAATTTGGGGGGTGGAAATGGGGGACTATGGATGTAGTTAAGTGGATATCCTGGGCTAAATCCCTAGTACCGCAAAATTTTCTCTCAAGTTCACACAGGGCTCATTTCTTATTTTAGAGTTTGTTTCATACATTACAGCTACAAGATTGTAGTGGGGAAGGTGAGAGTAAGGGTCATTTTGTCCTCTCCATCTTCCCCTGGGTGGGAATAAAGAACAGAAGCTCTGCTAGTCCAGGAAGGGATTGGGCCAGGGGTCTGGGAGGCCAGGGGGAGACAGAGCAGATGATCTCTGGGC